AGTCCCAGGTTGATCTGCGAGCCCACAGTCATCAAATTTGGGCCTGGCTGGCGTTGCTCGGACGCCTACGGACTCTAACCAGGGCACGATCAAGAGACGACCTGGGCGATGGCGCGCACGTTCGTCCTCATCATTTAACGATGCAAGTGGACGACCTCGCAGAACCGCGGACGGTATAGCTTTATACCGGGGTTGCACGGATACACGCCACTGCAGTAAGTCCTCGCAGTTTGCTCACTCTCGCCTGTATTCATGCCCGCTATGGCTTCCAGCGACTAGCAACCAGCATCCATTCCGACGCTCATCGCCACTTTGAACCCCAACATTCCTGGATGACGCCAAGGAGTCGCAGACTGTTCCGATCGTTGTCGTAGATGTAGAGTAATGATTACCCATACTACTTTGCTAGGATACCAAACAAGGATGACGTTAGCGGCGCAAGGGCTCAAACACGCGCTCGAGGACACGGCCACATGTGCCAACTGCTTTGTTCATCTACGCGTCGCGCGTGAGTGGCGCCGCGCCTCCCGAATCCGTTAGGGTTGTAGCCCGCCTTCACCTCCACCTGTGACACTCGGATCTGTCACTTTCGCGATGGGCAGACGCAAGCCGAAGCGAGTCGAGGAGGACTTTTTGCCTCAGCCGATCGTCATTCCCGACGGACCACCCACCGTCACGTTCGATGCGAACGGCGAACAAGTCATAGAGTATCTCTCGCCTGGGCGGCGCAAAGAGAAGCGCGCCCGACCCACACCCCCTGCTGCTCCCTTGCCATCGATGGGTGGATTGCTTGAGGAGGCGAGTCCGAGTAGCAATACCTGGGGCACTGCCACACATACATCCACCCACCTCGACGCCGCTCCAGAGGCAGTTGGCTCACAGGCGACCAGTGCAACTAATCCTGCGTCTGTGGATCAATTCACGGAGGGAGAGGCGGTTGGACAGGACGCCCCGCCTAAGAAAGGGCATGGCGAGGTACGTCGCACCATGTAAATGCCACCATAACTATCTAATCATTCTCGAAGCCCTTGCATGTCGTGATGACCACATTCCTCGACCAATGGGCTCAAAAGCTTCTCAACGTGTTCCGAAGGCGGGAGATTGACCCCAACCTCGGCAAACCGTGTTACGACTGCCGCGACGGCGCCGCCACTTACCGGTGTACCGAGTGTTTCAACGGTCCACTACTGTGTAAGCGGTGCATTGTGGTGACACACCAACGGAACCCCCTTCATCGAATTGAATGGTGGAACGGCAAGTACTTCCAGCGCGAGTATCTCAGCGACGCTGGACTAGTCTTCTCGGTTGGTCACCATGGCCGCCCATGTCCTCGCGCCGTCAGCAATCAGCCAACGCAACTCACGGTGGTGCACACCACTGGGATCCAGACGATGAACGTCCATTATTGCGACTGCCACAACGGCTGCGACGCCCCGCTGGAACGCCCGATCCAACTCTGGAGGGCCGGGCTGTGGCCCGCATCGTTCTCCCGCCCTCAGACGGTGTTCCACCATCCACACCTTTGATTCTTCACTCAGCTCACGTTCCAAGCCAAAACAACAGCCCACGATTTCTACGACTTTGCGAAGGCTAACCTCCAACGCGTTCTCGACGTGAAGGTACGTCGACTTCATGCGGCCTTGTATGTGCCTAGACTCATGTAGTTGATAGGACAGGTATCGGAGTTCCTCATGTCGCACCGGCAGTACACCTACCTGGAGACATTGAAGAGGTTCGCGGCCGAAGTGAAGAGGAAACCCGATCCCGGTAGTCTCGCCCTGCGCTGCCCAGCTTGTCCTCAACCTGATATCAACATGGACCCGCATTGGAAGGACCGACCACAGCAGGATCGGTACAAGGACGCGCTGCATTACGGGAAAGATGGCAACTTCACCCTGCACCAACACGATAAGAAGATGGATCCACTGGATTTCCCGTTGATGAACGGTGGAGCTTACTACGTCGACAGTGAGAAGTACCAGGAGTACCTCGAGAAGATGAAGGTCTACGAGGACGCCAAGACGAGACGGCAAACTGCAGCAACTTCAATGCGCTTTCCGATCGTTACAAGGGCAAGATCAAAACCGGTCAGGTCAGCCTGTCTTGCACGCGCCATGGATATGTCCTCCCCTGCGGAACTGTCGACTTACACATCGGCGAACGCTATGCCAACGTCGATTACGCGACATTATGTGGCCTTCAATGGTTCACGTCGCTTTCGCTGTGGATAAGCTCTTACGACGTCAATTGCAAATACGGCATAAATTGGTGGCACCGCATCAAGCAGATCGCTTCCACCTTACCGTCGGTGCCAGTGTAACACTCGCGAAGGAGCTGTGGCCTGTGATCCGCCGCTGCGTCCCGAAGTTCCACATGCCCTCGCACACAGGCATCTGCAAGTACCCGTTTTCGTTTTACTATATGCCTGGGTAGGCAACACCGATGGCGAGGCCGTTGAACGGAGATGGGCTGCCCAGAATGCCATCGGGCGATCGGTGCGCGAGATGGGACCCGGGCACAGGCAAGACGTCCTCGACGCACACAACTCCGATTTCAACGCACAAAAGATGTTCAAGATCGGTGAGTGACTGCTTAACAGGGCGAGCGACTGTTGCCTGATGCGAAACAGGGCGATCTCTACAGGGGAAGTTGAAACTCGCAGACAAATACTATGGCAAGAATCGGGCTCAGCTGGATGGCTTGGAGAAGACCTTGACGACGAATCGGCGCCCATTAGACGAGTGGCGCAGGGACGAAGCCGCGTACATTGCTCAAATGACGGACCCAATTTCGACGGAACCAAGGTGAAGAACCCGTACCAACCTGCAGTTGATGAAGGTATATAGTGCTTGGTGATATCTTCACAGACCTTCGTGCTGAACATTAGTAGTTCCGACGATCCAGGACATCTTGGCTAGGTTGAAGCGAGAAGAGACATCGGCGCGCCAGAAGCCGATGCCGAATGCCGGTACGAAGCGCAAAGCATCAGCGCTAGATACGACTGGCATCGAGGAGACGGTGAGAGGAGGTCTGGGGGACATGCTGGTGGCTGGCTTTGAGCTGGAACAGGAACAGTTAGTACATTCATTCACAATTGACACGTCATATGACTGGCCGACAGGGAAGCCTTCAAAGCCAAAGTTGTCGCGTACGAAAAGGAGCCGTCGTCCGACAAGTACAACAGCATCGCCAAAGAACGATCGAAACTCGAGAGGCGGCTTGTGGACTGGCTTCTGTGGCAACAGAGGGTCATGGGCCCGAGTCTCCTCATGGTTGAGGCGGATGTTCAGGCCGAGTGGCCGTCAATAGACTCAGTCGCTGCTGAACAAGCCACGGTACTCGTCCCCTCTGCGTATTCGCAAGAGATACGCAGGCATGCATCTCTTGAGCGGTTCGTTGTTGCTGAGCAGGAGCTGCGCGTGGCTCACGCCAACGATACTCTAAAGAAGATCCGGCAGAAGCTTCACTTCGAAGCATATTACCGCGGACAGAATGCGGGGTCGTTCGGGCAGCAGGCGCAAACCAGATATAGTAAGCTGAAGACGGGCGAGCGCGAGAAGATAGAGGCATTGCGAAAGGAATACGAGCGAGCGCGACTCAAGGTGGATCGGCTGGCAACGAGAGACAGACCGAATACGTTGAGACCCCTCCTCGTGGAACAGTGCCGGCCTCCAGTCGTCGCGAAAGAGAACGTCGGTAGGCAAAAGGAGTCAGTGTCTTGGATCTGGCGGGATGGTACGTACCATGACACTGCACTCGACAAGTGGGCGCTGGAAGGTGAGTCAGCCGAATGATCAAGTGGGTAGTGCACTGACAGTGGCTGAAGCCTGTCGACTTGAATGGTTCCGGGCAAGTGCTCGCACAACGAGATGGAATGAGGAGGTGGAGATTGTGAAGGAAGAGATGAGGCGCGTGCAGCGATACTTCCACTACTGCATGAAGAAGTGGGAGGAGCGTGCCGAAGTTGTGTGCACAAATCTTGACGAGCAAGGAGCGGCTGCTTTCGCGGCAAGGTATGTAGTGATGCCATGCATACCAAAGGCACGAGGGCTGACATCTGCTGCAGGCAGTCGTCAATGTACTCACGTCTGCTGACGGATGCGCAGAAGTGTTTCCCGCTGTCGTTGCAGATCATTTTTGACGACATGGTCGCACCACTAGAGGTTAGTATGATTGATGGTGAGGATGGCGATACTGCTGCTGTAGAGCTGGCAGAGCTGAATGCAGGTGAAGTTGACGATGAGGAGAGCATGTACGAGTAGTGCACGAAGAAATATTTCATTTGCAGAGATGATTAATGCTACTTGGGGGGACAAATGTCGTCGGCGAGTACTCGGGGAGCAACCATCGTCCGTGAGTACTCAGAGTGAACATGCCAGTCCGTGAGTACTTGGAGAGCAACCAACATCCGCGAGTACTCAGGGAGTGAACCTCGCCGCCGAGTACTCAGGGAGCAACCCCTGCCCGTGAGTACTCAGCGAGCGAGCCTTGTCAGCGAGTACTTATGTGATCGCGAGTATTCGTGGTTTATATGGGTGTAATACAGTCATTTTTTTCTCGTCAGAATAGTATAACAAAATGAGTAAATACTCATTGAATAGTATTTGGGTTCCCCCCAACTATTGGGCACCGGAGGGAACTTGTCGGGGAGGGCGGGGGACGGAAGGAGGATTGTCGGCGAAGGGGGAGCAGCCGAAGCGCCTCCGTGGTCGGGAAGCTTGAGGAGGACACGACGCGGCATTGGGCGAGACGGGCGAGGAGCGGGAGGAGGGGACGGCTGGGTTGGGCGGTAGAGCCGGGTCCCGATGTTGCTGGCGAAAATCGCCTCTTCCAACGCGCGAGGTGACATGGACCGCTCCAGGGCGTCATCCTCGATGGTATCGATCGGAGGGGGAGTCGGTGGCGCGCGAGACAGGGCGGTGCCGCGCGGAGGCCCGGGGGGAGGAGATGGTATGGACGGCGCGATGGGAGGTGAGGGCGATGGCGCGAACAGAGGAAGGGGCGCGACGGGCGTGCCTCTCTCTGTGAACAGAGGCGAAGAGGAGGGTGGCGGCGAACGCGCGGGCGTAACGGGAGGAGGGACGGAAGGGTCCCGCTCGGTGAACGCGAGCGAGGACGCGCGGGCATAATGGCCGGGGCGGAGGGAGCCGGCTCGGGGAAAGGGAACCCGAACGGCCCAGCCACGGAGAGGGCGGGCTCAGGCGCGGGAACGTCCTCGAGGGCCGCGAGACGCACGGCGGGCGAGGGAACAGGACCGTCCTGGGCCGCAGGCCCGGGCATTGGCTCGTCGTACTCGAGAGGGGATGGAGGTCGAGGTTCGTGGGGCGGCGACCGGGGAGGCTCGGAGACGGGAGACAGATGCGCGGCGGTGGCGGGGAGAGGGGACGGATGAGGCACGGGCGATGGGGACGGAGCGCGAGAGGCGGGACGACGGGACGTGGCGAGGACGGCCGGGGAGAGCTCGAAGGTGGTGCCGGCCCAGTAGCCGGTCGAGCCGTACCGGCGGCCACGCAGTTGGGCCTCCTGCCGGAGGGTCTGGAGGGAGCCCTGGTACCGGGAGGGCTGGCTGGCGAAGCCGTCCAGCCGCTCCCAGAAGGCGTCCAAGGCGGCCTCGGTTTCGGGACGCAAACGCGTCTCGAACAGCCCGTTGGTGAGGACGTAGTCGAGGTGCACGTCGTACACGGCCTGGGAGGACCCGTGAGCATGGAGGACGGGGAGATAGGTATCAGAGGTGCTCACCCAGGCGTAACATAGCTGGCGGCCCCAGATCAACCACGCGCCCGCTTGCGCGTGCGATGGATGGCGGCCCATGGTCGGCTCTCGAGCGGCGACGATGCTGATTCGCGCCTCAAGGGAGACCAGTTCAGCGGAGGCGGCGAGGCGGACTGGATAGTCCTCGTCGGGGAGACCGGCGGTGAAGTCCAGAGTGGCGGAAGGAGACGGGGAAGGACGAGACATGGGTGACAGGAGATGGGAGGGAGGAGGAAGGAGCACGAAGGAACAGGAGTGCGGCGAGCCTTATACGCGGGGAGACGAGGCCCAGCCACACTGATCGGAAGAAGATTCCCCGATCAAGAGACTATCCCGGCCAATCAACGCGTCGGACGAAGCGCTAGAGAAGCAAGGCGAGCAGAAGGCCGTGATCGATCACCGATCGCTCAAGACTTGGGACGATCCTGAAGGCGGCGTAGGAGTACCATATCGGGAAGAATGGGAGTCTGACCGGGGACGGTCAGAATTTCAAGGTGGGGTAGATGTGGGGCAGGCCCACATGGGAACAGCGGTACGAGCCCGGAACGACACACGCACTCAGGCCCGGGCAATGCGGAGCGAAGCGACATCCATTGGCGGAAGGACGACTCGGCGGAAGGACAACCAATATAAGAACACGCGGGAGGAAGACGGCTACAGTACATGGACAACGGGCTCCTCCCCATGGCGTCCTCAACCTCTCCTTCCTCCAGATCATTGACATCCCTAACCGGCGCGAACCGCAGGCGGCGAGGTACCCCAGAGTAGCCGTCCGGGACGTAGACTCCCTCCGACAGGCGGGCGTGCAAGTCGCGAACACCGCCCTCCACCGTATTCAGGCCTCGGGCGATACGAACAGCTTCGGAACGAGCGTCGCGGTTAGCGGTGCGGCACTCGTCTAGGAGGCCCTGGAACCGAGTAAGGAGGCTGTCGAGGCTGTCGGACGAAGCGCGGTAGGACGAGAGCTGTAAGGGACGCTCCAAGTAGCGAACCGGAAGGAGGGGACGACCAATCTCTGCGTCGGCCTGCTCGGCGGTGACCCGATTCGGGGCCCAGGCAATCAAAGGGAAGGGTTCGCCCACGTAGCTATGCTGCGACGGAAGAGTGAGGAAGACTTGGTCGAGGTACTCGATCAGCTCCTGCACGTCGGGATAGCGGCGGACGAGCGGAAGGGAAGCATCGCCGTGGGCCACTGCACGGGAACGAGAGTCGAAGAGCATTCGCTGCGGGGAGGACGGCTTAGAGGGGGATCAGGAATCAGGATGAAGGGGAAGACGCACGATTAACCACCGAGCTCCGTGGGCCCAGGCAAGCCACTCGTGGTCGCTATCGGGGTTCAGACGAGGCTCGACTACACGTTCGTCACGGAGAAGATCGATGAGGCGGTAGAACCGGGTGGTGAAGACGATGGTGGACGGGTTCGGGGAGCATCGGCGGGCATTGCAGACGGTGGGGAAACACTGAGAGCCAGGGGAGGGAGCGGAAGGAGCTGGAGAAGGGTATGGCGAGGCGTCGGAAGGAGGCGGAGGGACCGGAAGGAGCTGGAGAAGGGCACGGCGAGGGGTCGGAAGGAGACGCGGCGGGTGCGGAAGGAACGGGAGAGGAGAGGAACGGGTGCCAGCGAGGGTAGGACGTGGGAAAACGGCGGCGGGAGGAGACTTAGGAGGGGAGAGGGAGGGAGGAGTTAGTTACCTACCACTACCTCTCAGGACTCCGTATCTAGGTTGCGACGGGCAATCTCAGGCTTCAGGTCTCGTATTAGGAGGAACTTCAGGCTAAGGAAGCTCGTCAAGGTTAGGCTCAGGCTTAGGAAGAAGGACGCGACAGGTTTAGGATCGTCGGAAGGAAAATCGTCGAGCGCAGCAGGCTTAGGAAGGCCGATATACGCCCACGGACAGGGCAGGGGAGGTGTTTATCGTATCATCTCGACCTCCCTCTCCTCCGCGAGGTACCAGAGACCTCGCTCCCTCCTTCCGCAGCTGTCAACTCGCACCAACGACCCCCGCCCATCGTTTTCACCGATACCTAGAATTCCCTTCCGCGTCGTCTACGCATCGGGGACTCGCAATCACCACAACGCTCACGGTCGCCGTGCGTGTAGTGCTCGTCCGCACTCTGTGGCGCCCACTTTCCCTCTTGCTCGTTTTCTCTCTTGCCCGCCTGCCCTCTCGCTCGCACCCACCCGATTTCCTGCTCACCTTCTCTTCCACTCACCCACCCACTCGTATCCTTGCTCGCTCGCCCCCTTGCATACTCGCCCGCTTGTCCGCACATCCGCCCGTCCGCACATCCGCCCGTCCGCCTGTCTGCCCGTCCACCCGCCTGCCCGTCCGCCCGCCCTCCTGCTCGTCCACCCTCTCACTTGTCCGCCCTCCCGCTCGTACACCCACTTGCTGCCCGCGCGCCCATTTCCCCGCCTGCTCACCTGCCTGCGTGTGCATCCGTCAGCTGTGTTTGCGTGCTGGGCATTGGCCCAGCGCGCTCGCGGTGGGCGTGTGCGGTCGCCTACTCACTTTCCCGTCCACTCATCTGTCCGTCTTCCTGCCCGCCCGCCTTCCTGCCCGCCCATCCTCCTGCTCGCCTGTCCTCCTGCCCGCTCATCTTCCTGCCCGCCTGTCCGCCTGCCCGTCTATCCGCCTGTCCGCTTGTCCGTTCGCCCGCGTGCCCTCGCGCCCGTGCCCGTGGTCCATCCGTCGGCTGTGTTTTCACGCGGGGCATCAGCCCTGCGCGCTCGCGGTCGACCAGTCTGCTGTACTGCACGTCGCCGCATCCTGTGGCCACGGTCAGCTCACTCGCTCGTATGTGTCTGCGCTTACCTTGATGCCAGCGTCAGCTGTTCACTGTCGTCGTGCCCGCTGCGCTCTAATGACGTCGGTGACCGACGCGGGATGGTGGCAGAGGAGGTTGCAAACGGCCGGCGGAAGCGCTCGCCGCTCGTTCGACTCGTTGCGAGCTCCCGGGGTTGGCCGAAACCGACGCCACGCAACGGGCAGGGCGGGATCGTACCTGATCTCAGATGCGCTGACCCCGATGTGCGTCCATATGGGGCAGCTCGCATCGCACCACCCCGCGGCGGACGAAGGGACCGGGCTGCCCCGGCGTGGCTGCTATATCGGGTAACGACCCAGGGCGCCTCGTTCATACATGACGGCGCCTCGCTCATACATGAGCGAGTGGCAGCTCATGTATGAGAACAGGCTTTGGTAAGTACAGGTGTTTATGTATGATACCTTTGTGCTAACTACAGGGATTTCATACAAACTTATGCCTATATGGCCTGTTTTTGGAGTACCGTCTCGTCTTCGTGGAGACCATGGCACGGAGAACATCGAGACAGCATGCTGGATGGACGATCATGTAGGGGCTGGAAGAGGCTCGTACATCTGGGGGCGGTGGGCCTATTCATGTGCCTCTACTACACACTGTACTGATTCTCGTCGCTTGCATACAGGAGCATCCACAATGTTCGAATCGAGCACCTATGGGTCGATGTCACAGCGCAAGTAACATCAAAATGGGCCGACTTCTTCACGGACCTCGAGCTCCGCCATGGGCTGAACATCAACAACATCGACCACATTCACCTCCTGCACTATCTCTTCCTACCCCTGATCAACACAGAACTGCTGTATTTCGTCTCAGGCTGGAACCACCACACTATTTCTGGTGTAAATCGTACACCTTCCGATATGTTCGGTTGGGACATGTATGTCCACGGTATCCGTGGTGGCCAACTTCCTCCACATCAGCAGCTGTTGACAGACGAAGAACTCGAGTATTATGGGGTCGACTTCGAGGGTCTCGGAGAGGATGCCCTATTGGGCTCTCGCGAGGCGAACAACCCAGAAGACGAAGGTGTCTCATCATTTCTAGGCCGCATACCACCTGCCGAGCGCCTTAACACCATCGCAGTTGAGACTGGCGACACGAACTGGCCAGAGGAGCTGATTCAGGGTTTGCAGGGCCTGAAGTATGCAGTGCAAGGCCGCGCAGACGACGAGTCCCTGACTGGATTATGGACAGCTTCTCTCGTCCTCATGTGTACTTACTTTGGTGATGTTATGACGAATTGAAAACAACTACCATACAGAATGCAGGCTAAGAGGCCAATGGAAAGGCAAAACCATGCCACTACGAAGACAAGACAAGTACAATGCTAACATAGACTGGTGCGCGCAAACACGCGCCCTGTCCCTGTATCTCCCTCCTTCACACTCTCGCCCTCATCCGCGCCATGGCACACCCGACTTGCATCTCCTCTTTGATCTATCATGCCGTGTTCGCGGCACTCTACCCGCTGCCTAACTTCACCTTTGCTGGTCCTCCGACACGCGCCTTCGCTCTCACCGAAACATGCCGTGCACCCGGCAGCGCCCATTCTGTCTACCACTGCCCATTCTCCCTTTCCTCTGCGCACAGCCGAAATTCTGCATCTGCACGCCCGCCCGGTCTCGTCTTCTCCATGCGTGCCCTCTCGCACACCGCACCCGCTCTACTTCACTCGCTCTGAGCATGCGCACTTGGCCTTGTGCGGGACCCGCCGCGCCGGCGCCCGCCTGCCTCTCGTTCACCTCGCTAACACATCCTGCACCGCCAAACCCGCCGACTGCCGCCTCTCCGACCTCACGCAGTGTCGCATGTTTCGCACTCTTGTCCAGCGCCCCGGCCCCCAAACCGCCCTCCTGTGTGCGTATAGCCACCCTGGCCCCGCGCTCGTCCGCCCCGCACTCACCTGCCCTGCGCGAGCCTACGCGCCGCCATGGATTCTACCATCTGCCTCCCGCGGGCCGGCCACGCATCTGGCATCGTTAATATCTCGTCCTTCGACGCCCGCGCAGTCTCCCTCGCCCTGTTCACCCTCGCCCTCACCTTCTCCTGCACCAACTCGAACGACCATCCACCCATCTGCCTCAGTTCCATCGCCCGCGCACGAGCACGTCTTGCGCGACCGCACGCGCCACGGCGGTGTATCCGAGGCCGAGAATCTCCGCGAGCGAGCCCGTGCCGCATCAGGCGCTCAGCGCAAACATCGTGCCGCCTCCGCACGCAGCAGCCTTGCCCTTCCCGCCGTCCGCAGCGTAACGCGCATGCGAGGAGACCATCGCCAGACTAGACTTGCCGTTGTCGTGTGCAGCTGACGTCGCGGGCGCCGAACGGAGCATCAAGTTCGCGGTACCCTTGGACTTGCCTGGCCAGGTGATCAATTCGCAGCCGCAGGCGCATTCGGACGGCGCATCTACGGAGGTGACGGGGTCCGCCTGGTGGGAAGATGGCGTGGCCGCCGGCTGACTGCTCGAGGTGGAAGCAACAAGTGGCGCAGGGAGCACGGCCACGGCGAAATCCTTCAGAGACGACCGAACGAGTCCCGATGCCGCCGGGTTCAGACTCAGTTGCGGGGTTGAATGGTTGATGGACACGCTGACCGGCGGGAAGGCGAATGTGGGCGTCGCCTGTTGAGGCTGCGAGGATACGACTGTGATGAGGGGTGGAGGAGCCCTTGATCGCGTAGCCGAGGACGGCGGACAGAATCGCGAGACTGACAATGGGTGTGGGCACCAGCGTCAGCTGGAAGAGTATTTTCCATGACGTGCATCGTGAAAGCATGCTTCGAAGCGATCCGTTGCATGAAGCGGGGAGATTGCTGCACCTCTCCTGCAAACAGCGGGTGCAAGGCGCGAGCAAGCTGCTCGGGTGCGACGCGTTTACATCGACGACAGAGGACGAGCAACGAGACGCTGGCACAACCTTGCACTGTGAGATGTTGAATGTATCCCATTGCTGCTCGGCGCCGAGGAGTACCGGGGTGAACGAGGATGGCTGGTTGTCCCGAGCGAAGCTGATGGATGGAGACCGCACGTCGCTTGTTGGTAGTCGGGTACGGGTCGTATCGATCATCCGCTGAACGTAACACCAGTTATGAATGATAGAGCAAACTCTTAGGCGCAGCGCCCTCTTCCGCTTGCTCGTCCTAATGGCACTTGGCGTTGGAGGTGGAGTATACCGCCGTGAGGATGCAGCGGGAGAGCCGACCGCAGATGATGGCTGTCTCACTCCAGTGTCAGTCCAAGGATCAGGGAGACAACAAAGTGATGGAACATACGACATTGACATCCATCGCTGGACTATCCAGCATGCTCATGTCCTCCCCCTCCCCATTCACACTCGCAGCGGGTGTAACGGACTTCGAGATAGCAATAGGATCCACGAACAAGGACGGCGCTGCTTCCTCTAGTTCACTGTCGCCGCTCGGCGTATCCGGCCTGCGAGGTTCCTCAGTGCCTGCCTCCTCGGGATACCTGCCCTGATCTGGCGGCGGACGCTGCACTCGGTGTGGCGAAGGTAGCTCGCAGAATGATGCGACGAGCCGCTGGAACTGCGCTTCCGATCGCATTTCGTCTTCTGGCGCTCACCTGCACTGCGCGCCGGCAGCCTCAGGCGCTGGATGATGCTTGAACTCGGCCGCGCGCATAGCCGTCGCGGTGGGCAAGTCGTGCTTGCGCATACGCTTCGCGCCGCAGCCGAAGGATCGTCTGAAGTGTCCATATCCATACCCATATCGCCGCGCGAGGGGGACAGGAGGGCCTTGGCTGCGGTACGCACGAGCTCAGCCAGCTTGGCTTCTGCGCTCCGGGCGGCGCGTTCAGCAGACAGCGCACAGCGGCGGACGGCGCGCAGCTGGAGGAACTCGTCAACTTCGAGGTTGGTTGACGCTGGGCCCAGCTGGATGTCGAGGAACTGGAGGTCGTCGCCGTCTGGCGGCGGAGAGGATCTCTGATGATCGTTGCGAGGAGTCGTCCGGTAAGGGATCGAGTGGAAGGGTTGGTGAAGAGGGCGAAGGTGGACATTCAGTCGGTGCATCCGCACTGGGAGATGCGAGTAGCTGACGAGGCGGACGTGGAATAGGGGTAACGCACAAGGGGTCATTTGTATGAATTCCGAAGGTCCGAGTATGCGGCGGAGGATAGCAATGTGGACCGGGGTCGCCTTCAGGTGATATTGCAGTGTCGCAGAACGAGCTATCGGAGTCGCCGCCTCGGCAGAAGTAAAGCCAACGGGGGTCGTGGCGAGTCCAGTGGTGGAGGATCACCGCCGGTGTTCATTAAGGGTCGTGCAGAATCTTGAGCCCATCTAGCTAAACTATCCATTGTTGCCCGGCCACCCAACATGAGATTCACCTATTGTTGCCCGGCCACCCAACGTCGGCCGACGGTCTGACTCGGCCATTGTTGTCCGGTCGGCCGAGGCATCAAACAATCAAAATCCGCCCGGGTGGCCGACAAGGTGCCATTATCCCCCCGGATTATCCAGCAGGCGATGCTTGCATTGTTCCCGGAGCGGCCGACACTGGACAAATGGTATCCTCCCCGGGCGGCCGAGGGTCAGAAATACCAATCCTGCCGGGTCGGCCGATGGTCATACAATGCAATCCTGTCCGCCCGGCCGACATCAGGAATCTGCATACACAGTGGGTCGGCCGACAGGCTGTGTTCACTCAGGAATTGCATCCATAGCAGGTCGGCCGGCCACAGGATTTTGGCTTCCGAGGACAGGTTTCCGAGGTCGGGCTTCCCAGACTGGGCTTCCGAGCCCGGACATCCGACACCGGACATCCGACACCGGACGCCCGCCACCGGAAGCCCGCCACCGGACATCCCGGGTCAGGCATCTGGGACCGGGTGACTGTGCTTTTAGGATGCTCTTCAGTGGATTCATTAATCAAGCAGTCCCTATGTGCAGAACAATGTAAATGTGATGCACTGATTGATTTCCGAGTATTTCCTTCCCAATCTGGACACCTCCTTCCTAATCCGGACTGGGTAGACCATCTGGATGTGCATAGCTACCACCGGAAGTCTGAAAACATTTTTTGAACACTTCCTGTGTACAGGACAGCGCAAATGCACTCTGATTGCCAAAGTGAATGATTTCCGGACACTGCCTGCCAAATCCGGACACCTCCTTCCTAATCCGGACTGAATGGTTCTGTCCGGCTTCGGACACCCGCCACCGGACGCCCGACACCGGACGTCCGAGCTTGGAAGTCCGGATTTATTAACTACATACTTCATGTGTGCAGAAATCATTTTCCGGTGTGTAAGTGGTCAAGTAATCATTTGCTGAACATTGCCTTCCAAATCCAGACTGTCTGCTTCGGGCGCCCGAGTTCGGACACCCGACGTCGGACGCCCGAGCTCGGACGCCCGACATCGGACGTCCGACATCGGACACCCGAGCTCGGAAGCCCGAGTCCGGATTTATTAACTGCACACTTCCTGTGTGTAGAAATCATTTTCCGGTGTGTGAATGCATCCCTGTGGTCAAGTAATCAATTGCTACACATCTCCTTCCTAATTCGGACTGTCCGGCTTCGGACACCCGAGCTCGGACACCCGACATCGGACGTCCGAGAGCGGAAGTCCGGATTTATTCATTAATCACTTCTGCTGTTTGTTTATCACTTTCTGGTGTGTAATGGCTTTCCTATTGTCAATGTAGTGACATTCTTGTGTGTCCTTTCAATTCAGACTGTCTATTGACTTTTACCAGTGAGCTGTTACTGGCAGCATGCCAGTGTGTCTGCTACTGTGAGTTGTTGAATCAGAGGTTGTAATGTAGTTCCCTTGATACAAGATACTATCTGGATTCAGTAGTGTGTACCCTTGTCTGTTGTCAATATAAGACTAGCAACACTATGTCATGAGGGAACAACAGAACTATGGATGAGTTAGTGTGTGTGATTTGAATATGAACTTAGGTAATAGGTATACAGTTCATCAGTAACATGACAAAGAAAATGAAATATAGTCATGTATTAGAATAATGCTACATGGAATAATGACCCTGTAGTACCCAAGGTATATGGGAGGGCTATTGCACTCGGACGTCCGACATCGGACGTCCGGGTTTGGACACTGGAGCTCAGAAGCCTGAGAAGTCCGGATTTATTGACCACACACTTCCTGTGTGTAGAAATCATTTTCCAGTGTGCAAATGCATTCCTGTGGTCAAGGAATTGTTTGCTGACCATCTCCTTCCTAATCCGGACCATCCGGATTCGGACACCCGAGCTAGGGCGCCCGAGATCGGATGTCTGAGAGCGGAAGTCCGGATTTATTCAGTAATCACTTCTGTTGTGCAGAAGTTGTTTTCTGGTGTGTAAAAGTGTTTCATTCATAGACTCTAGTATTGAGTTCCTAATGTCTAAGGATCTTTACTTTGGCTACAACATGCAATGCAAGATTTACTCACAGGCTTGTTTCCAAACATACTATTCAACTTCTGAAGCCAATATTGTTTGCCCACAATATCTGACTATCTAGAATGTGTTCTTTCAAAGTATAGAGCAAATCCCCAACAGGAATAGTCTTATTCTTTGAAGCTGAATGCAGGAGCAGAGATAAGGAATTGTGTAGTGTATGGAATATGTGCCATAACATGTTCACTGCCTGCAGCCAAACTACATTCAAAACAATGTTTGACTATCTAGAATGGGTCATTTACACACAAGGAGTGAGTCTTCCAAAGGAATAGTCTTATTCACCCAAGCTGAAAGCTGGGCAAAGATAAGAGGAATGTGAGTGCATTGTGAAGCATACAAAACAATGCTACAACATCAATCTTGAAGTTACTGCAACACCACAAGCAAAATAGCATACACATCACACTACTGTATTACTCCAATGAACTACTCATACTAGAGTCTACATGGTGCTGTTCTTAACAGTCAATGAAAGTGAACTGTCATTGACAGCCTGATACACATTGGGTACTACAGGGTCAATATGAAGCACTACACATCCACTTTATGAAGGATTACTGGATTTGGAAGGTTACTCACCATTTGAGGCAATGCAAACTTTTGTGAACCTTCTCGTGCAATAGCCCTCCCATATACCTTGGGTACTACAGGGTCATTATTCCATGTAGCATTATTCTAATACATGACTATATTTCATTTTCTTTGTCATGTTACTGATGAACTGTATACCTATTACCTAAGTTCATATTCAAATCACACACACTAACTCATCCATAGTTCTGTTGTTCCCTCATGACATAGTGTTGCTAGTCTTATATTGACAACAGACAAGGGTACACACTACTGAATCCAGATAGTATCTTGTATCAAGGGAACTACATTACAACCTCTGATTCAACAACTCACAGTAGCAGACACACTGGCATGCTGCCAGTAACAGCTCACTGGTAAAAGTCAATAGACAGTCTGAATTGAAAGGACACACAAGAATGTCACTACATTGACAATAGGAAAGCCATTACACACCAGAAAGTGATAAACAAACAGCAGAAGTGATTAATGAATAAATCCGGACTTCCGCTCTCGGACGTCCGATGTCGGGTGTCCGAGCTCGGGTGTCCGAAGCCGGACAGTCCGAATTAGGAAGAAGATGTGTAGCAATTGATTACTTGACCACAGGGATGCATTCACACACCGGAAAATGATTTCTACACACAGGAAGTGTGCAGTTAATAAATCCGGACTCGGGCTTCCGAGCTCGGGTGTCCGATGTCGGACGTCCGATGTCGGGCGTCCGAGCTCGGGCGTCCGACGTCGGGTGTCCGAACTCGGGCGCCCGAAGCAGACAGTCTGGATTTGGAAGGCAATGTTCAGCAAATGATTACTTGACCACTTACACACCGGAAAATGATTTCTGCACACATGAAGTATGTAGTTAATAAATCCGGACTTCCAAGCTCGGACGTCCGGTGTCGGGCGTCCGGTGGCGGGTGTCCGAAGCCGGACAGAACCATTCAGTCCGGATTAGGAAGGAGGTGTCCGGATTTGGCAGGCAGTGTCCGGAAATCATTCACTTTGGCAATCAGAGTGCATTTGCGCTGTCCTGTACACAGGAAGTGTTCAAAAAATGTTTTCAGACTTCCGGTGGTAGCTATGCACATCCAGATGGTCTACCCAGTCCGGATTAGGAAGGAGGTGTCCAGATTGGGAAGGAAATACTCGGAAATCAATCAGTGCATCACATTTACATTGTTCTGCACATAGGGACTGCTTGATTAATGAATCCACTGAAGAGCATCCTAAAAGCACAGTCACCCGGTCCCAGATGCCTGACCCGGGATGTCCGGTGGCGGGCTTCCGGTGGCGGGCGTCCGGTGTCGGATGTCCGGTGTCGGATGTCCGGGCTCGGAAGCCCAGTCTGGGAAGCCCGACCTCGGAAACCTGTCCTCGGAAGCCAAAATCCTGTGGCCGGCCGACCTGCTATGGATGCAATTCCTGAGTGAACACAGCCTGTCGGCTGACCCACTGTGTATGCAGATTCCTGATGTCGGCCGGGCGGACAGGATTGCATTGTATGACCATCGGCCGACCCGGCAGGATTGGTATTTCTGACCCTCGGCCGCCCGGGGAGGATACCATTTGTCCAGTGTCGGCCGCTCCGGGAACAATGCAAGCATCGCCTGCTGGATAATCCGGGGGATAATGGCACCTTGTCGGCCACCCGGGCGGATTTTGATTGTTTGATGCCTCGGCCGACCGGACAACAATGGCCGAGTCAGACCGTCGGCCGACGTTGGGTGGCCGGGCAACAATAGGTGAATCTCATGTTGGGTGGCCGGGTAACAAACTGACATTTTGACCCCATTATGTGGAATCTTGCAATGCAGCAGCTCTAGATGCACGCCGAGTGGGGAGCGTAGCGCCCAGAAAGCGCCAGCTCGATCTTCGTGGATCCGCCGCCAGACTCTTCCGAGAGGCTCGGAAGGCTACCTAGGCTGGATTTGTCCTGCGGGAGACATTCCTCGAAGCCGGAATCACGACGCGCCAGCAGCCTGAGTATACGGGGAGGCCACGGTCGGACCCATAGGGACCGCATTCAAGTCAATCCACGAGCCTTTGAAACTCCATCCCCGCAAGGTGGCATGATGCACCATCCAAACACAACGGTGTGACGAGGCGGCTCTTGACTTGCTCTGGATCTCAGCCACCTTCGCCCGGGGTGCGGCAGCGTTGGTGTGGCCACCGCCAGCAAGCTCGGCGCGGCATCCAGCCTCCAGGGCGGCGCCGACGAAACCAGCCTTGGCGGGAGTGGGCGCGAGACCAGCCAGCACATTTGGCGGCTTGCGGAGGCACGAGAGCGGCGCACCGAGGCGGATTTTGTCGCGGCTGCAGGAAGGTCAGCAATGCGCGAAGTGCGGATGGCAGTGCAGGGAACGCGCACCTTGTCTTGACGGGACTAAGTGCGAACTTCTTGCTCCGCCGCTCCTCCTCCCTCCTCACTGCCTGCGCGACGCCCAACTCAGCGGTGCCCCTGCACCCTGCCCACCAAAGACTAGCGCATCCAGGCGCCGCGAAAAGCGGGCGCGCCAGCGTGCAGGGGCGGCGAGGCTGCGCGGGCCCGCGGTGGCGAGCGCGTTCCGGCCGCTGCAGCGGGTAACCTGCAGCTGCGTGTTCGCGGTGCCCTCGAGCTTCTTCCCCGGCTCTCCAGGGCTGAATGAGGCGGGCTAGCAAGTGGCCGATTAGCGAGTAGGCTGCTTGACGCTATTTGAGAGCGGGGTCGCCGAGGCGGCTGCGAGGCAGGCGGGCTCTGCATGCGGAGGACCCAACGATTGCTGAAAGTGGAAGCAGGCTGCGAGGATGCTCATTCGTTAGCATCGCGCATCACAATTTCCTCCCCGAGCAAGAACATACCTCAGCCTTTGACCATTTGAACCTGCAGCTCCCGCGGCTTTGCTGCGAGTTGGGCAAGAGCAACCAAAATCTTGCGAAGCCGAGCCTTCCTTTGACGATCATGCGGATGCGACCACCCGGGCCTTACCCCAACGCGAACATCGACGCATGACCGCCGCCAAAAGATCTGCAGCTTGGTATGCGTGGTTGTTTGCGACTATGCCGGAGGAAAACGAGGAGCCGCCCAGCGGCGAGCGTGGCACCGCCAAATCGGTCATGTGATGATGTAGGCCGCGCGGCGCGCCCACTGACTCCACTCACGCAGAGCTCATTCATCTGCATTCAGGGCTCACGATGCCTTCGCGGAAAGAAAAGAAAGAGGCTCGGAAAGCAGCATACTCCGCTCTCATCGAAGACATCAGTGGCGATGCGGCTGCTCTCGAGTTACTTGCTCGTTCGAGCAATCCCTATCCCTGCCTACAACTCACAGATTTACTACACCTTCGACTCGCCTCCCGTGGCATTCCTTCCCCCGCAGGCGACCTCTAATGCAACCAACAGAGCGAGCACGAGTCGTCAGGCTGTAGCAAACAGACGACGACCTCAGATCGTGCTCGGGAAGACGAGGCAAGAACTATATTGGCATACCTGTAGCAAACAGACAACGACTACGAAGTAAGTGAGTACAGGTATGCGAGACACAAAAGCTAACTACTCACCCTCAGATCGTGCTCGGGAAGACGAGGCAAGAACTGAGGGTGCGAACGCGGCGCGAGGGTATAAGTGGGCGAGCGAGCGAGTTAGGTACGAGATACGAGACTGTCCGTAAATGGTAATGAATGTACGGATGCGCACGGCGGGCACGGCGGGATAAGAGAACGGAACGGCGCATCGGACAGCGCGTAAGCAGTATGCAGTAAAGTAACAAAAAACGGGTATAGTACGAAGCCGGAGAGCCGGCGAGGACGACGTACGGATTGTCGGCTCCAACACCCCCCTCAATCCTAAACGAGTCCGAGTGCAGCCGCAAAGTGCTTGACTTTGGGACTCGGTAGCGCCTTCGTGAGCGCGTCGGCAACCATCTCGTCGGTCGGGCAGTAAACGAGTGTGAGTTTCTTGTCGGCGATGACCCAGCGAATGAAATGGAAGCGGATGTCGATGTGTTTCGTACGGGCGTGGTACTGGTGGTCCTGGGTGAGTGCGATGGCGCCGAGGTTGTCAGAGTTAAGCGGGATGGGCTCCGTGAACGGCGCGAAGACCTGGCCAATAAGGGAGCGTAGCCAAAGGGCCTCCTTCGACGCGTGCGTGATGGCGACGTACTCGGATTCCGTCGTGGAGAGGGAGATTATCTCCTGGCGTTTCGATGCCCAAGAGACCGCGCCGCCGTCGATGAGAAAAGCGTACCCAGAGATCGCCTTGCGATCCTCGTGCATTGACCCATCTGCGTCGGTGTACCCAACGAGGTCGAGCGAGATAGCACCGTAGGTGAGCTTCAGCTTCTTCGTTCCAGCGAGATAGCGAAAAACGCGTTTGACGGCTTCCCAGTGAGCGCGCCCAGGGTTCTGCGAGAAACGAGCAAGGATAGAGACGGCGTAGGTGATGTCAGGACGAGTGCCCAGCGACGCGTACATGAGCGAGCCAACTGCCTCTCGGTACGGGATGTTGCGCATCTCCGCGACTTCGGCGGTCGTCTGCGGCGACTGTGTGGCAAACAGCTGAACGTGCGGGTCCATCGGCGAGGACACGGGCCGCGCGTCTTCGAGGTTGTACCGCCGCAGGATCGACTCGATGTACGCTACCTGCGAAAGCGAGAGGGTCCGGGCCTCGCGATCACGCTCAACAGCGAAGCCGAGGATCCAATGGATCTCTCCTTCGTCCGTGATCTCGAAGTCCTTCCGTAGGTTCGTTTTCACCTCATCCATAAGCCCTACTGACGCGACGATCGTCAGGTCGTCAATGTGTACGCCCATTGCAATGAGCTTGCCGCGCTCCGAGCGGTAGAACACGGCCTGGTCCACGTCACATGCGGACATGCGGAGGCGCTTCTGCAAGACACCGCGCAGCTTCTGGTGCCAGTTCCGCGCGCTCTGGCGAAGGCCGTACAGCGGGCGCAGCAGGCGCAGTACGAGGGACTTATCCTCGGTGAGTGTCAGACCTGGCGGCAGTGCCATATAGATGACCTCGTTCTCCTCGAACTCGCCATTCAGGTATGCACTCTTAATGTCCACCTGGTGCACATCGAGGTCGTGGCGCGCTGCAAACGCGAGCAGGGTCCGAATGGACGCCATCTTTGCAATGGGCGCGTAGGTGTCAAAGAAGTCAACTCCGGGCACCTGTGAGAAGCCGCGGGCAACGAGGCGTGCACGGTAACGGTAAACGCTTCCGGCTGCGTCTTTCTTCGCATGGAAAACCCATCGGCAACTGACGATATTCGCGCCCGGCGGGGGCCGCTCGAGACGCCACGTCCCGTGCGCTTCGAGCGCGCGCAGCTCTTCCTGCATCGCCTCCTGCCAGCGCAGCCATTCCGGCCTGCGTTTTGCTTCCGCCAGCGACTGGGGGTCCAAGCCCTCGACCTCAGCAATCTGCGCGGCCATGGCAGCGCCTGAGACCTCTTCAAGCAGCTCGGCAGCACTGTCCTCAACTGGGACCTGCACACCGCGAGGTACGTCGCTATCTGCGCCCTTGCCAGTGAGGATGTCACTGACTTTCTGCGACGGCTTGCGGACGCGCGTTGGCCGTGGCGCTGGCGGCGGTTCAGGGATCTCGGGCTTAGGAGAAGCGGGCGGTGTGGATGGCTCGACAGCGGGTTCGTCAGAGGACTCGTTATCAGAATCGGAGGAGTCGGCGGTGGATGCGGGCTTGCCATTGCCCGGCTCCTGCTCCCCCTCAAGCTCGACATCCTCGACGACAGCTGGCGGCGAGCTATCGCCGAAACGAACATTCCGCTCGACGGTAATGCGGTGAGCCTCCTCCCAATAAACTCGGTGGCCCTTGCTCTGACTGTCGTATCCGACCCATCGCGCAGCCTTCGCGCGTACGCCGAGCTTTCCAGTCGATGTGTCGTGTACCCAAACACGGCAACCCCAGATGGGCAGGCCTACTAGGGTGGGCGGGCGTCCATTAACAGCCTCGAACGGTGTCCTGCCGCCGAGCGCTTTGGTGGACGTGCGGTTCTTCAACCACACAGCATGCATCACAGCCTCCCCCCAGAGGTTCGCTGGCATCCCGGATGCGATCAACATCGCCCGGGTCTTCTCCATCAGCGTGCGGTTCAGGTGTTCCGACACGCCTGCCTCCTCGTGGGTATCATGCACGGAGAGCTTCTGCGTGATGCCGCGCGCCTCGAGGTGAGTCTTAAACTCTTCGCTGAGATACTCGCCGCCGCGGTCGGTGTTTACAGCGGTTTTCAGAACTATGCGGAATCGCGAGAAAAACGAAAACGCACCTCGGGCACTGGACCAGCGCCCCGAGCCACGATTAGATTAGATAGTGGCCAAATCTGGAACTGATAAGCTAGGCCATTTCGGTCAGCAGGCATACGAAATCACAGTCGTTACATGTAAATGACAACAAGATGGCAGCGAGCTACGCTGACACACCAATGCAGCAGGAAAAACGGTGGAAAAGTAGGGCTCACAATGCGCGGCGCGCAATGTATATAATATAGCATATATAGTAAGTGTGGGTAGCTGAGTATGTAAACAACATACAGTAAGTACGAACGACTCAGTTGCTCTAACGTAAGTAGTACATATACATTCAGTCCGCAAACAAGATCTTTTGACTTTCAGACATGAATGAATGAAATCCGGAGTGAAGCAGCACGTTGAGCAGGACCCATTCTGTGATGAATTGATAATTAATGTAAGTATACTATACAGTTGCATGGCAAGGGCAATGTTGTGCACATTGGGTGTTATAACCAGGGTAAATGTGGAGCACAAACAGCTTTACACACATCTTTGGCTGTCTAAATTACGGTCCAGTGCGAGGACCATTGCTAGATGAGCTCTGTTGGTTTTTCGAGTAAATTTGATCAAGTGGTTCCATCCGATGCTAAAGTGAATGGTCATTGGATGGGGAAAAGATACCAGACCTCTGCATGCCTTATTTACATACCCTTCCCATTTTTGTTCACAGTCGACTTCACCCTGAAGCTTGTTACATCGCTCGCTCGGAGAGGCGGGACGCGCAGCGTCGTATCAATCTAATGGCTTCCTAACTCGGACTGCATCTAATCTAATCGTGGCTCGGGGCGCTGGCCCAGTGCCCGAGGTGCGTTTTCGTTTTTCTCGCGATTCCGCATAGTTCTGAAAACCGCTGTAACACCTTCAGCCGCTTGCCATGGTGGTTCTCCAGCCATGCCTCGAATGCCTTAAATGCTTCGAAGGACTCGCTCTTCAGACGCAGCAGGTAAGCTAACGTCCAGCGTGTCGCATCGTCCGTAAAGCTGATGTAGTGCTTCCGACCACCAAGCGTAGCGACCCGACCAGGGCCCCACAGGTCAGAATGGATCTCGTCACCAAGCTCGTCCGCACGGTCACCTTCGCGCACGGCAGGGACCGACTTCCGTGTCGACTTGGCACGGATGCAAACTTCGCAAGTCTCGGGTTCGTCCGACGGCACCAGGGCAACTCCGGTGATGCGTCCTCCAGACACAAGCTCTTGTATCGCACGCGGCGCGATGTGACCTAACCGGCGGTGGAGGTCCATCACAGTAAGCTTTTCGACCTTGGCCGCGGCATTAGCTGACCCAGTCGAGCGTGGACGAGTGACCAGATACAGGCCACGAGACTTCGGGATGGCGCCAATGGTGCGCCCATCCTTGTCGGCGAGAATACACTGCCCGCCGGCGAACGTTGCAGAGTACCCGGCGTCATCGATCCGCCCAATCGAAATGAGGTTAAACCCCAGTGCAGGTGTGTACAGGACCTGCGTCAAGCGGATCTGCGAGCTCGACGCAGTGTTGTTAGGCACGGAGACAATCATGTCCCCAACACCAGTAGCTTCGAAGTGCTGCTGGTTCGCGGCGTTAAGCGTCTGCGGTTTGATCTCGCGGAAGGAAAGGAAGTCCTCCCGATACGGCGACATGTGGTGACTCGCGCCCGAATCGTACAAGTCAACGGGGGTAGATTCGGCGGCAACGAAGGCGACAGTGGTCACAGCAGAGGTACTGTACATGGCAGGATCATCATCCTGGGCAGGTTCGCGAGGCTGAGCTAACTCTTCGTCCATCGCCAGGCGCCACGTCTCGGCGGTCACGACTCCCGGATCATCTACCTCAACGTCGTCCAGCCAGTTGGCAACAGCACTGAGACGAGCGGTGATCGGGACGGGCGTGGGGACAGGAGCATCCTCCCCATTGTGCGAAGACTCGGAGTCCGTCGTGCTCGACACCGTCTGCAACGACGGCATAGAGTTTGCGTCCGACGGCGTGTCCGACTGCTCGGTAAGCCCGGTGATGTCGGAGCGTGCATCGTCATCAAACAGACCAGCCGACTCATCATCCGACGAGTCAGAGTACACGAACTCCTTCGGGAGCGAGATGTAGGCGGACCATGCGCCTGCAACTTCATCGAGCGAGGCGACAGCGGCAGTGGTGGCGGTGTTCGCGTTGCCGTTCTTCGGCTTCGCGGAGGTGGACTTTGACGCATCGGGCTTGGACGTGGCAGATGAGTCCTTTCCCTTCGCGTCGCTATCCTGCTTCGGACTAGGACACTGATCCTGGCGATGACCTTTCCCACCACAGTTCCAACATACGCCGACCGGCTTCTGCGGACCACGGCGCCCCTTAGGCTTCGGCTTCTCTGTTGATATGACGCTGGCGGCAACACCGGCGTCCTTCTGCTTCGCCTTAGCCTTCTGGCTCCCACTGGTACGACGGTCCCACTCCTCGAGTGCGATCTCCATCAGAGTCGTCGCCTTGATGGCAGGAGCTTCCTCGGTAGGCGTATCCGAGTCAGCGAGTGGAGAGGTAGCAGATGACGAGGTCTGGAAACCATGGGCGAGCTTCGCAGTGGCAGAGACTTGAGAAACGAAAGTCGACATGTCGTCGGGCAGGAAATTGATGATCAAGGCAGCATACTCGGCCTCACTGACCGTGATGTCGTTTGTCAGGAGCTCCTCGTACTTGACGCGCACACGATCAAGCTCGGTGTGGAGATTCGCACCAGCCGTCGCACGCATAGTCAAGAATTGGGTACGAAGGTTTGCGCGCAAGAGAAGTGACTTCGAGGTGAACTCCTGGATGATCGCGGCCCAGATGGCGGCGGCTGTGCCTTTTCGGGCGTGCTTCGTAAAGGTGATGTCGGGCAGTTTCTGGGTGAGGAGATACATCGCTAATGATTCCTTCTTATCCCAGGCAGCGATTGTTGTCAGCTCCGCTGGCGTAGTGTGTGCGGGATCGGCAGGGGTCGGGCGCGGCGACGTCCCATCGAAGTGCTCCCAAACATCCTTCTGCTTCACAGCGATCTGGAAGTGTTGTCGGAAGGTAACCCAGTTCTTCCCGGTAGCCTCGAGCCTCTCAAAGGCTGAGCTAAAGTCGGCGAGTGATGTACTCGTCATAGCGGCGGCAATGGACTACGACGAGTAGGAAAGGAGTGGGTGGAATGAAGCGGGCAAGGGTGAGTCTTGTTTCGGCTAGAACGCGGGGCTCATAACCTAATGCAACCAACAGAGCGAGCACGAGTCGTCAGGCTGTAGCAAACAGACGACGACCTCAGATCGTGCTCGGGAAGACGAGGCAAGAACTATATTGGCATACCTGTAGCAAACAGACGACGACTACGAAGTAAGTGAGTACAGGTATGCGAGACACAAAAGCTAACTACTCACCCTCAGATCGTGCTCGGGAAGACGAGGCAAGAACTGAGGGTGCGAACGCGGCGCGAGGGTATAAGTGGGCGAGCGAGCGAGTTAGGTACGAGATACGAGACTGTCCGTAAATGGTAATGAATGTACGGATGCGCACGGCGGGCACGGCAGCATAAGAGAACGGAACGGCGCATCGGACAGCGCGTAAGCAGTATGCAGTAAAGTAACAAAAAACGGGTATAGTACGAAGCCGGAGAGCCGGCGAGGACGACGTACGGATTGTCGGCTCCAACAACCTCTTTGCTGGTTTCTTGGGATGGTGTGCTCATACCCGGGCCCGGCAACTTCCGGATCAACTCGAGAAGGCCCTTGTCCTGCGTATGCAGAACACCCAAGTGCGGGAGGAGACTCATCAGGAAATCCCCCCCATCCGAATTCGGGCTAATTTGCACGAATTTTCCCAAAATTCGGTGAGGACCCATTTACCTGACCCTCTACGAAATTCGCTCAAATTCTGGTGAATTTGCCCGAATTTGCACTCATCAAATGACACCTTTTGTACCCGCTCAATTCACAGAAATTCGCACTTTTTTGAACAACAAAACCATGGATTTCATCACCCTAGAACTACGATCTACTTAGGTATCTAGCTACACCTTAGTGGCCATCCAATGACACAAGCAGATGTCCGAGAACTCGATCTTCATGCATACACAGGCCTTCGGGCAAGCTGGACAGTAGGGGAGTGGGGTCACGAGCACGCAGGACAGCCAGAGTGACAAGGAAGATGGTCGGCAAGCAGGACGGCGGGCAAGTGGTACGAGTGAGCGGGTGTTCAGGAGCATGGGCGAGAGCGCGCAAGAGCACGCATGCGAGAGACCATAAGCGAGAGGAAGTGCAGGGCAAGACACCCCGAGAGGACGAAGGCCAGCACGGCGAGGGAGGGCGAGCAGGCGAGAACAACAGCGTGGGTGAGCAAGAGAAGGCGCACAGGCGGGCAAGGCGAGCAATGGGCAGAACAACGAGAGCGGACAGGCAATTGGTTGAACCAACGGGCAAGCGAGCAGTGAGCAGACAAACAGGAATGACAGACAAGTGGGTGAGAGCGAACGGGCAGGCGCAAGAGACAAGCATTTGCACGGACGAGCGGGCAGGCAAGAGCAGACGGGCACGCAATGAGCTGAGCGTGGCGACAGGCGGGCGAGTGGGTGAACAAGTGGACAAGTGCTGAGCGAACAAGTGGACGAGCACAGCCGGGAAAGGACAAGAAGTCGGGACCGGCCCCGGGTACTGAACGGCGACAGCGGGTACAGGATACTACAGGTAGCGCGCGGGTTGGCGCAGGTCGTTGCGGGCCAGCGGGTGTCTCCACGGGTCTGCATGGGCGAGCGAGACGGCAGACAGCCAAGAGTGAATGAGATGGCAGATGAGTGAGACGATGTGTGGGATGGCAGACGAGCAGGTTGGCGGGCAAGCGAGTCGGCAGGTGGGCGGAACAGAGTCGAAACCAAGAATGGGTCGCCGGGGGTCAACGCTGAACGTAAGGCCAGCGATGCGCATATCCGATTTTGCTGGGCGAGCGCGGGTGACGGTGCGCTCGGACTCGTCATGTTCAGGCTGTGGAGCGGTGCGACTGTCTTCGGTGTGTGGTCGTGGTGGTCGGCAGTGTTGGCTGAGCGGATACGGAAAGGGACAAGCGGGTGAGAGCGAGCGGGTGTTCGGGCAGACAGATAAGCGCAGTCGGGTGGGTGGATGAGTGGGCAGATGAGGCGCACGAGCAGTCGAGCACACAGACAGTCGCAGAGGCGGGCCGCGGCGGATGGCCAGGCGGGCGCACACGTGGACGAGAACGCAGGCATCCGCAATCACAGAGATATAGCTAGCAAGCACAGGATATGGCCCCAACTCGACGAAAGTTGCGTTCAAGTGCTTCTGGAGAAGCGACTCCATAGCACTGGTGAACTGCACAGGTCCGCGCGTATTCCCAGAAGTACTCTGCAGTGAACACGTTGGTCCACTGCTGGCCGTTCGACGTGGAGTACGTCTCGACGGTCGGCAACGTCACTTCGTACTTGGGGAAGATCCCTCCCAAGCAGCGCTTGTAGTCCTCCTCGCAGAGGTCCATCATTCCCGAGTGAACCGGGATGCACGTGCGACGTCTCGTGGCAAACATGCCAGCCTTCTTAGCTTTCTCGACCGCGTTGTCGATATGACCAGAAAGCATAACTGCGCCGAGAGAGTTGTAGCACCCGATCTCGAGCACACCCGGACCGAGCTCTGCGAGCACATCTGCAATGATCAGCTCCGCCTACCCCGGTGAGCAAGCCAGGGTAGTGATCGTGCCGTCCTCCTTCTCGAGCAGAGACATAGCCTTGCTGCGGGCGATGGCGAGCTCAAGAGCGAGAGCCTTCGGTCCCGCACCGCTGGCGTAAAGAAGGGAAACCTCACCAGCGGAGTGGCCGAGCAAGGCGTCGGGACGAACCCCAAGAGCAGCGAGTGTGTCGACCAAGGCTAGCTGGAGCACAGTGAGCGAGGGAAGAGTAACGGCGATGGGCCAGATGGCACCGAGTGTGTCGCTGTTGATTTGTCTGCAAAGAGTCCAACGTCATTGATGAGGCTCTGACAGGTCGCCGAGAAATAGACTTGGTTGAGCTCGTTCACCGTATTGCGAAGGACCGCGGTGGTCTTGGAGAGGTCACGCCCCAGTACACTGTAAAATGGTAGCCAGGTAAGCAGGCACATAAACTCACCCTCTTTATAGTCGCCTGCCCTTCCTCTCGAGTTGTCTTGCCCTCGTCGCGATCCTACGGCCTTGTTTCCAGGGAGTCGACTTCTCATAGACATTGTATAAGTCCGAAGTCGCGCGATATGTTGTATCTCGAGAGAGCCATGCAGAAGCTAATGCCGATGCTTTGCAGGACTTTGATTCCATAGGACGCAGGAGTTCGTGGTGAAGAAAAGGGAGGAGGAGTTCGTGGTGAAGAAAAGGGAGGAGGAAGAGTAAGTTCAGCAACACCGCCAGCTCAGCACGCCCGCATCGGGAAACTCCGAGGTGGGCGCTTGCACTTCAAATTTTACTCGCTGAACTTCAAGCGCTGACCGTCACCTCCGAGGCTCACCCAACTCGATTCCCGCCCTCTCCCTGTCGAACTCCGTTACGACGAGCAGCTCCGATAGTTCTTTGGACGACCCTGGCGCCGACGATGTGCTGTCATACTACCCGCCAACTGTGACCCGGACTGTACCCGGCACCTGCGCAACCACCGGGACGGGCGTCGGTTCGGACAACCACGCGCTCGTGCCATCCCACAAGCCCGAACGCACGATATGGCAGTCAACGAACGAATGGCGGGCACACAAGCGAAGGCGTCGCAATCAACCTCCTTCTATCGGCAATGCTCAATCCTACGCACTCGCTTGACGCTTCAGGTCTTCGTTGTATGGTATCTGTTTCTTCCCCGACTCGCGCTCTACGGATCTGGTAACACAGCTTTGGGATTGCCTCGTTCTTCGGGTACCCGCTCTGCTATCCCTTTAACCTCCTGCCTGACTCTTCAAGCGCATTGATCTCGACGTCAACCTCTTGTCCTTCGATGACATGGAGAAGGCAAAGAGTCGAGGTACGTCACGTCGTGAACCATGTCTCCCAACTCGTGCGGGTACGCTAACACCGAGCACACAGCGCAGCGACGTGCAGTAATAGGCTGTTGCACGACACATACAGCGACCGCGAGCACGCGGGGCCAATGACCTGCGTGCAGGCACGGCCGTCGAACGGGCGGGCGGGCGGACGAACTAGCCGACCACCGGGTGGGAAAGCGGGCTGTCGAGTGGGCGTGCGAGCGGGCGGGTGGCTGAGCGGGCGGGTAATCAGGGAGGCAGATGAGCAGGAAAGGTCCACGCTGTCGCACACGCTGGTCGTATGTTGCAGTGACACTGGCCCGCGGACGAGCCGCGTTAGCACGCGCAGTCAGGCCGAGCCGCCGAGGGCGCGACGTACGTACCGGGACCACGGGAAGAGCGGGATGGCTCGAGATTCGGAGGGCGAGAACGTCTAAAAGGTACGTCAGGCAGTGCGGGTGTCCATCAATACAGACACGTATGCACCTCACTAACGTGTGCTTGACCAGGACAGACACGCTGAGATGTGTGTCTGCACCAGTGCCCCGTGCAGCGATGTGCACCGAGCGACCTGTGAAAATATATCAGCTCGAAGCCATACACGATCGGACGGAGGAAGAGCGTGTTCAGCGCGGGAAGGCTGTGTGTACGCTGCGCAGGAGACGAACATGGCACGACGAAGGCAGCAGTGAGCAGAGACTCGGAGTCACGAAGAGAGCGGTGATGTTACAAGGTGAGAACATCGCTCGTCTTCCTGTCCATGCGCTCACGAACGGCTGAGATATCACCACATAGGCATGTCGTTGTACGAGACGGTGATGCTGCTCGTCTACGTGTGCGAGCTCCGGTCCCTCCGACGAGTCTGCTGGCGCGTCCCGGCCCATGGCAAGTACGACAGACGACTGGGGCAGCCGGCGTGGCTCAAACAGCTTGGTCTCTATGTCGTGCTCCCGCACCAGTCGGGATACGCGTACCATTCACCGTGTGGTACTACATACCACACCACGCGACAGCCGCACCTCGCAACTATGTTGACCAGACGCACAACTGTTTTGACAGGTACACAGCACACCCAGCGATGAACGGGTTTCGACGTGGGTGTTCGCCCGGCGCGACCAGCTCCCTCCTCCCAGCTGTAGCAATATACGAGGATCATGAATGGTTTGACAGAGGCTGAAGAGAGACAATGTACTGTTGTGTATGGTAGTCACAGGCGTCCGATGTATATATGTAGCATTTCTCGACGCGAATGTACATACAAGTTTTTCAACCTGTTTGGGAGGCATTCGCATCGATTTACAAGCCATTCGGAGCGACAGGCGCGCCGCGGCGATTTGCTGCCGATTTGCGCCACATTCGTGCAGGGGGGGTTTCCTGATCGGATGTGCAGGGAACTCGCTGCGCGCCTGCGCCTGCGGAGGCTAGATGAGGCCGGCAAGGCAGCCTGGCTCGACAAGAACACGACGGAGGTTTTTGTTGACCCTCTCACCAAGCCATACCCCGACTACCATTGGTGGGTTGCTGAGTCGCCCGAGACAGCCGAGCAGTGGAGACCTCGAATCGAGGAGGGCAAGCAGGCGGACAGGCGCCACACGCGGCACCCTATTGCCGTGGAGGACCCCTCGAAGCTCGCACACATTGTGCACGAGGAGGAGAGTGTAGTTTTTCGGGACAGGAAAACAGGCAAGGTCGTCATGATCATAATCCGGGACTTCTGTAAGGACAAGAAGGTTCTGGCATACGCAAATGGCGAGACAGAGCAGTCGGCTGATATGAGAAGATCAGTCAGGGTGAGCAGGCAATATTTGAGTCTCATTTGTGCTCGTTATTGACACTTGTGCACCAGCTCGAGGACCCGGGGAAGCTTGTGCTTCTCGGCTACACTGCTGGTTCTCGCAGCCACCCTCTGTACGACTGGGCTCGGAACCTCCGCTCCTCCAAACACACCGCAGAATTCATACGGGAGCACGACTTCCGTGTATCATCAGTATTTGCTCTCTTCTGGAACCTGATCCAGTCACACCTTCCTGAGGAGGTCCTCGCTCCGTTCGAGTTGTACCTTTCCGAGAATTCGATGGGTCGCATGGACGCCAATTCGAAGTCGCGGGAGTCGAAAGGCATCTATATGGTGGAGTGCGGAGACGAGTACGTCGAGTTCAATGATGCCAAACTCGCACCGCCTGCAGGTGTGGCTGGTTGTAACTATGCGCGGTAAGTGCTCTTACAGCATTTCCTTGGATCGGTCCTGATGCATATCTTGTAGTGCCATTCATCGAGAGAAACAGCCCCAGAAATGGGCGTTCTCGTGGACGACTTCTCGCCGCAAGGGTATGACAGGAGGGAGTTTCTACGAGGCAGTCTATGGCATCAAGGTATGCCAGGCTCCCAACACGATGATCGCGTGGATGCCTGAGCACGACCATGGCACGAGTCTGCTCGATTACAGCTCGGATCGGAAGGAAGATGTTCCGCCTTTCGCGCAGGCTGGCATCGCCTTTGTTACGAGTACCCGCCTTGCCTCCACCTGGCAGAAGTATGTTGAGGGTGAGGATTTTGCGACTGCGGAGAAGGAATGGGTGGAGAGTATGGAGGATGACGTCGAGAGCAGCTGTGGCGATGAACTATGCACCCTCTGCCTCGATGACGGTTACAACTGCAGTGTCAATCCCTGCCCAATTTGCATTTAGTCGTAACTCATCACTCGTCTTCATAGCTAGCAATATTCTCAATTTACACAGAGTAGACATTACTGCAGCTTCAGCAAAACCCTAGATGCTCGTGCCAACAACAAGGATGGGGTAAGTATCTAGGGACTACCTGCCTCGCACTCTCGATCTTCGCAGCAAGCATGCCCTCCACATTCCACTGACCCCTGTGCTCCTCAAGTGGTTCGGCTTCGAGGACACAGGCATCACTGCCTCCCTGAACACCTCACTGAGGTCGGGTACGCGTGGCGCGTCCTCGCGACGTCCTCCGCGCACACGCCGCACTCGAGCACGAGCCCCAGGATGCAGTCAGTCCTCCTTCTCCACGAGGAACTCGCCCGCCCGCCCACGCCCACGCCCGCGTTCGCGCGCGAGTTCGCCTGGAACGGGAACCTACCGACGGTGTACTGCGCCGCCGCCTTCTTCAGCTCCTGCTCCGTCTTCCCTACCCACGCCGCCTCCGGGTGCACGTACACGACACCCGGGATCACGCGGTAGTTCATGTGCCCGTGCCCCGCCTTGATGCACTCTGCCGCCGCGATGCTCTCCTTCTCGGCCTTGTGCGCGAGCATGGGCCCGAAGGTCACGTCGCCCATGCACCTCACGGCAGAGATGGACGTGGTGTACTCGTCGTCGATCACGATGCGGCCGCGGGGGTCCACCTCCACGTCGATCTTGGTTCCGACTTGGGCTGCCCTGAACAGCCTGCGCGCGCAACACTCGCGCACCCGTCAGGGCGCGTGGCCTGGACGCGCAGATCGTGCCGCTTACCGGATGACTTACTGGTCATTCACCCTCAACGATCGCTGCACTACCGAAGCTCACGCCATATCCGCCTACCCCCGGTCGACTCAGCACTCATGCGCGGATACACATTCGTCGCAGTATCATCCCGGTCTGGTCACCGGCATCAGCGATATATCCACGCACGTCAGTCAACGACGAGACGCACTCGGGTGTCCAGCCATATCTCATAGGGTATGTTCATCCGTTTCCGATCTGGTTCTGAGCAGAAAAGCTAGCAGTCTTGGTTAGCGGATGCCGAGCATGGGTGTCCCGGCCAACTACTGCCAAGTACTCGCACCGCCAACTCACAGCGTGCCGTGCTCCGTACCAACCATGAACCTGTACAATATCTCCTGCAAAATATGCCAAGTTGCGACCTGCCCCGGCCAAGCTGCACGCGTGACCGCAACGCGTTGGGCACACTTGCTGCCGATCACCAGTTCCTCCCTCGATGATCGCTGCGCGGCACGAGCTCACGCCGCGTCTGCCTTCGCCCGGTCGAATCTCCAGCCCATTTGCGCCGGTCAGAGGGCACGAAACGGGATGCTCACGGGCTGGTATTCGCCCGCTGTGATCCCGGTCTGCCCACCGACGTTAGCGGCGCCTCCACATGCACTGGTCAGCGTCGACACTCACTCCCGTTCTCTCCTCGATCTGTTCTCGGCCTTCGTCTCGCACATTGTATGCGTTCCCTACCGAGCAGTCTTGCGTGGCCGCTCATCGTGTCCCTTGCCGACTTCCTGGCTCTCTTCGTGCTCACCCTCAACTCTGCGCGTCTTCTGCGCGTGAGTCGGTGTCTCCGCGCAAGGTTGGTGCGCTCCGACTCGGTCCGACATGTGTATTCGGCCCCGGTCGAGCGCAGCGAACATCCTCCCGGTTGGGCGAGGTGACGCGTACTGCACATAGGTCAGTGACCAAACCAAGCGTGGCACAGAGGTCGCGTACCGCTGAACCGTCCCCGCACGTCATTGTTCCGACACTGGCATGCCGAAAAGCAAACGGTCCGGCACTTGACCGTTTGGACTGCACGCGCCCGTCAGGCGCGTTGCCCCGGAAATGCAGACTTCACTGCTCACCTGGCCACTCACCGGTCAGCCACCATGTACGGCACGTCCGCACACCCACGTTCACGCCATCTGTGCCCTCGCCTAGTCAGCCCGTATGGGACAGTCAGTGCGAGTATCGCAGCGCCGAACGGAGAGGCTTACGCGGAGTTTCGCTCGCGGCGGCGTGCCTCTGCCTCGACACACACCCCGTCTCGTCCGCTTCGCTTCGCATTAGTCACGGCATCGCACTCGATGTGCCAGTTCCTGCCCGCCGGTACCTGCTCACTGGGCTGCTGCTGCCGCTTGCGAGGCACTTGCTGAGTGATCTCATGAGCATGTCCGCGGATCGTCGACGAAGATGAATGACTAGCAGCGACCACCGCAGACGACGTCGGCAGGCGATGGAGATGACGAAATGACGGAGATGACCTCGCAGGCGCACCGAGAGTCGGGAGTCAGTGCTTATCGCGGAAGTTGAAGTCCGATGTGGAACTCATTTGGTTTAAGGCGAGGCCGGGGAAGTCGCGACCAGGCGAAGCGCAGGCGCAGTGTGGACGCATCGAGTGCGGCGAGCCTGGGGTCCACCTTGTCAATAGTATCAAGAACGAGCGAGCCGCAGAGAAGAGTAAACTGACGAACTGAGTTACAATGGATGCTTGCGGCTGAATTGTGCTGCCGAGCTCTGCAGGGATGCGGCTGGAGTGGCAGGCGAGCGGTACAACCTGTGCGGTTGTTGCTTACTCAGCTTGGGGTCCCTGCGTGAACCTCAGTAGCTGATCGTGGCCGCCCCCGTCCACATCGAACGCAATCGCATGCGCCCAGCACGGCGCACTCGGGGAGACATGGACGGACTACTGGGCGCGCCGGCGCGATCATGTTGGTGGGTCGCCGACTGGGTGAGACACTGTGAGGTCGCAGGCGCGCCGAGCGGAGAGTCCGGCGTCCGGCGCGTGCTGAAAGGGCAGATGCGAGTCGGACGAGGACGGGGGCGCGTAGCTCGAGGTTGACGTGCAGAATACGGACGTGAACAGATGGCGGACGTGGAGGCGGGTCGAGTGAGGAAGGATATGCGGAACGCCGGCGCAGAGGAGAGGGAGGTTGAGGGCGAGTGACTTCGGTACTCACGGGAGTCGTTCCAGTTCTCCTCCGTCTGCGCCAGTCGTCCCTTCGCGGCCATCCACCCAAGCGTCGGTTCGTCCTCTGGGTGCTTGGCTAAGTGCGCAGGCGTGCTCTGCGCGATGGGTTTGACGTCGCGCGGTCGCTCGACCTCGAACTCGTAGGCAGTGGGGGCGGTAAGGTTACCGAGCGCGCGGCGATTCCGCGTGAGGAGGGCGTGAGGAGGGCGGCGGGAGCGTGGGTGGTCGGAGTGGCGACTGGACAGAGTACATGCACTTGCCGCCCCATCCAACACCGCCTGCTGCTCGCAGTACATGGTAGGGCGGGGGCTCGCGGCGACGTCTTCCCGGGGATGAAGTCTCCGGGCTCGCAGTATGCTCATGGCGTCGAGCTTCCGGCCGGCCTTGCCGGGCGGCGGCGGGGTATCCTCGTCATAGACGTCCATCTTCTTGTCTTCCTCGACTCTCTTTGCCGCGTGCTCCGCCGGTGTTGCAAGGCCTCGCGAATGATTCCAGCGACCGATCTGGAGCACGGATACGCTCCGAGGTACACGAGTTACCCTAGATTGCACGTAGTTTTGTGAGCGGTCGTGCGAAGGTACGCGAGAGCAGGGTACTCGTCTAGAGACCTGCAACATGGTTGGGAAAGAAGGGGGAAGTGCGACGCAAGCGTCGAGGAAGAGCAGGTGTCCTCCATGCTCTTGTCGTCATCACCCTCGCCCCCAAGAGCCCATTGACGCTCTTCGCGATGGGGTTGTGCCTGGTTGCCGAGACCGCCGATGGCATACTTGACACCCGGTAGCTTGTGCTCGCCATTGCTGAACTCGAAGGACTCGCCCGAGAGGTTTCGAGGGACTCGTCACTCGTGCGAGAGGTTCTGTGAGCGAACCAAGCTTCCACACCCTGCTCAAGCCACGCCTGCCCGCTGCGGACGCAACTAAGCCGTGGCAGGCCTGAGCGACGCCTTTTTAACAGTGTTTTGGTGTGTCTACGTGGGGCTTGTGTCATGCGGGCGGCTTGGGTGACGGGCGACCTGTACGACGGTGGACTGGACAGCGGGGAATGCGGGTGGTGGACGGGTCGAAGGCGCTGAATATGGCCGGATATGGCCACGTCCAGATATGGACGTGGCCGGCGGGCATCCTCGTCCCTCGCGTGCAGGGATATATGGTCGGGGAGGGTGGCGCGGAACGCTCACTCCTTGCGTGCGCCGCGCCGCGCCGCGGCGACTCGGTGGACGTGGTTGCACGCGGAAGTGAACGGCGCACTGTATGCTCGCATGCACACTATTGGCGACCACCGTTCACCCCGGCGACCCGAGTAGCTAATTATGGTGGTCGACCTCGAACGCAATCGCGTACGCCCAACACGGCGCACTCGTCCATTTCTTTCATGATCGCCTCTGCTGGCAGGCTCTGCAGACTCGGCGAACCCGGCCTCGAGACCTCGCATTCGCACCTCCCACTCCTCTCACGCGCGCGCGGCGCAAAATGCACTCAAGCGCGTGTTTAACAACAAACATGCTATCGATGTATTAGAGTCAATGTATTAGAGAGCACAACAAACACGGCACTCAACCCAAACCATCGCCTCTAACTTGTCCCAAGTGGATCGGCTTCGAGGACGCAGACATCGCCACCTCCTTGAACGCCTCGCTGAGGGTCGGGTGCGGATGGCACGTCCTCGCGACGCCCTCCGAGCTCGCGCCACACTCGAGTGCGAGCATCGCCTCCCGCGATCATCTCGCCCGCGTTCGGGCCCACGATGTGCGCGCCGAGGATGCGGTCCGTCTCCGCCTCTATGAACTTCATCTAGCCCTCCGTGTCCAGGTTCGTCTTCGGGCGAGTTCGCCTGGAACGGGAACTTGCTGACCTTGTACTGCACCCCGCCACCTCTGGGTGCGCATATGCCTTGGTGTACTCCACCACGATGCCCTCCACTGCCGATATGCCCTCCTCCTCGGCCTTGTGCGCGAGCATCAGCCTCAAGGTGACGTCCTGAATGCACTTCACGCCGGAGTTATACTGGTCGTCGATCGCGATGCAGCCACGGGGGTCAACCTCCACGCTGATCTTGTCCAGTCCGAGGCTGGCAGTCAGGCACACGGCCAACGGAGACGAGCGCAGGGTTCTCCATGAGGTCCTCCGCGAGCGTCTGGTTCGGCATCGCCACGATCATGAACTGGAGTAGCGCACGCGTCGGGTCGCCCATGGCGTCCTCCTGGTTCGCGAATGCATCATGGTTCGCCATGAAGAACGGCGTACTGACGTGCTCGCAGTTCCACTGGTAGAGCAGCGGGAGGTCCCCGAGAGCCTGCTCAATGAGCCTGAGGGCGGCTGGCTTGCTGCTGCCGAGCGTGACCTGCTCGCTCTGCAATCCTAGAGCCTGTTGCGCCTCCATGAGTTGCTCGAGATGTTCCGCGCGCGACTCAAGCTCCTCGAAGAGGTCAGCGCAGTGCTCCGAATGCGCATCCGGAAGACCGCGCACGAGACCAGACACGAAAGGATCTGGCTCAGAGCCACGGTAGAACTTGGGACGATGTGAGTGGGTACAATGTGCATCGAGATGACGCCATTACATACCGAGTCACCGTACGAGATTACGACACCGTCCTTCACGTTAACATTGATGTCCCCGTCGGAGACCTCGATGCCGTGCAAGAACTGGCGTACGTAGACGTGGCTCACGCCAGCGTTCTTGTCCGTATAGGAGTCCTTCCGAATGACGAACGAGCTGACAGGCGGCGTCTCCCGCGTGAGCTCTTCTGCGAAGTGCTGCACAACCTCAATTGGGTCGTTGGTCGCGTCTGCAAACCCACTGGACGCGTAGACGGGGTCCGCGTGGTAAACCGCATGCGGGTGCACAGGGCCGAAGCTGAGGGTCTTCCGATGGCGGACCTGATTGTCGTTGCTGTTGCCACCGGGGTGGGCGAATGCGCTCGCGAGATCGATCGCAGCAACCGAAGCGACGAGTAAACGACGCATTGTAAAGAATGAAGTTGTGTTAGAGGAGCGAGCGGTCGTGTGCCGTGAACCCCCCACTAGAAGAGCTGGAGGGAGTGGCGGTGGTTGGCGAGAACCGGCTGAGCTGCGTACACGCCATCCTTACGCTGATCGAAGAGTTGTCTATCTGAATCGGGTGCCGCTCTGGACTTGTAAGCAGCCTGGCGCGGCCCATCTGGCGCGGGGCCCCGCGGAGCATACGAGCTCGGCGCGGCCGCCGCGGCGTTCGACACGGCTTCTGGCTCGGCGGTGATAATGACTCGTCGGGGGCTGGCGGCATTGGGGTTGTAGAGTTTGCTTGGACTGCCGGCAGATGGGCCTGCCTGGTGTCGGGATGAAGGACGGGGAGAGGAGGTAGCGGTAATCTTGAGGAGGTAGCGGTAATCTTGAGGCGGCGCGAAAAGCCATCAGCTCCGGCCGGCATCGCGTATGGCGAGGTCTAGTTGACAGCAGTGTTGGGGGTAGTAGTGGAGGAGCGTGCATCCGACGAGGAGCGGGCGCATGCGGTGGTCAGGGAGTGGAAGAAGAGCCTGAGGGAGCGGGCGTTCGGCCAGCTCGTTTTGCTACACTGCGAGCGCAATCGCGGCGGGTCAGTCTCCATGCGAAAACCCGGCTACGGAGCTACATACGCGGCATGCCTGCGCTGGAACACGACAAATTTGTCTGCAGGATCTGTGTGTTGCACCAGCCTGCGGGGCGCGGCCGTGGGGGATGGCTGCGGCGACTCGGACCCGGTGGTGAGGGCGATGGCGAGGGGCCTCCCGGCGACGAAGACAGGCGGAAGAGAGGAGGATGAGGCGCCCGTCTGTAGCTTGCAGGTGTTCGTCAGGAGCACGTACGTCGGGCGGTAGGCTCGGCGTACCCAATGCGCGATGTTCGGCGGCGAAGAGAGGGGCAGCAGTGACTGGGTGGGCACGTCCGGTGAAGGCGTACCACCGATTTTGGAGCAAGCTTCCTGCTCGCTTTCCCTGCTCCCCGCGCCCGTGCTCCTACTATGCTTCCCTCCTCACATCATCCCCGCTCTGCGCTCGTCGTGTTCTGGACAGTCTTGTCGCTCGAGGCTGGACTTGCGCACGCGTTGCGCGAGACCTGGTTCGCGTGGCTAGGTTGCCTGTCACGCAGGACCACGGGATGTCGAGTGGAGGTTCCCAGATTCGAAAGGAGGGACCCGCTGGGTCAGGAGCGCGAGCGGGAGAGCGGGAGAGGGAGACCGGAGAGGGTAGAGGGCGATCTTGAAGCTTGAAGCTTGAAAGCTTGATGGTTCACGTTCAGCTAGTTGGGCGTCAGTTCGAGCTCGCCTGACCGCCAGCGCGTTCCGACTCTCCTCCGGCGGTCGTGGTGGCTGCCCGAGTCGTCAAGCAGCGCGCCGGGCGCTAAACAACCCGCTCACCGTTCAAACATCGTTCACGCGGACTCGCCGCGCGCGTCGCGCACGACCTCATCAGTGCGTCTAGCAGACTCTAGCTTAGCGACGGTGCCATCATGACCCTCGCTGTGTCCTGCCCTTGAACAGTCCGGACAATTGGCACTTGGCCGAGACTTTCTCGTATGCCGTCGCCTTCGGTATCCACCTCACTGTCCATGATCGCCCTCGTCACTCTTTATCTGCATCAAGACGAATTTTTTACAACAGATTCTGCGTAACGTTGGAGAAAGGGCTCGCGCAGGCGACGACCCACAATGACCGTGCCCTTCACTCGATTGTCTACTTCCGCGTCACCATCATCTCGCAGGCTCTCAACTTCGCGGCGCGCTGGCATGGGTTCGTCCGCGCGCTGTTCGCGGTACGCTGCGTCGTACAGCTCGTGTCAATGATCGTCGCTGTGTACGCCAATTGGAGGTTCGCTCCCATCCGCGGCATCCCACTTGGGTGGGTGTTGCCTGGGTCTGGGTACGCCTTCTATTATCTTGTTGTGACCCTCTGCATTCTCTTACCTGCGCACCTGCAGGGCGTCATCGCGTTCGTCCCTCTCGACTGCATCAGGTTCGCGATGAAGGCCACCATCATCCAGAGGCTTCCTGGCTGCTGCAACGCCGAATGGCGCAGGCTTCCGCCGCCCAGTACCTGCGCTTGTTCCGCCGCCCAGTACCTGCACTTGGTCCCGCGCGGCAACGCGCGCACCGAGGACGCCTCCTGAAGGCCGCGGTCAGGCAGCAATGGCGCGCACCCCGGGCCCAACCTTGGCAGCGCGCTTGCGGTTCTTGAGGTACTGGCTAAAGCCCAGCCGCAGCTCTTCAGGCGGCGATCCTGCATCGATGTTCGCGTCGGGGTAGGGCCCGGGTGGTCGCATCTGCAGGGTCGTCAAAGGAGGACTCGGCGGCAGTCTTCAGTCTCCTCGCCGCGCCGGGCAGCGGAGTGAGGTTGCGGCTGCGCCTCCAGTTCCCGCTGGCTGCAGCCTGGCCGCGCCCGCGCGAGCAGCAACCGGCCAGCCTGCGCCTGCCACTGGCTAGCAACCGCTGCGCGGCACCCAGGTTGGCGGCCGCTGCCCCCCGCGCGCCCCGGCGCGGAAGCCGCCCAACTTGCAAGTTGCGGGAGGCTGGGGGTGCTGCCTTTTCTGCTGGTCCCAGGGTGCTCCCCGGCCGCTCTGCGCCGCCCCACTCGCCTGCAGAAGAATCCCGCAGGTTGCGGCTTTCTGCCCGGCCGCTACCCGACCAAGGTCAAGGCGCTCCCGGTGAGCAGCTCGACGCGGCGAAGGAGCTGGATCGCTGCCTCGGGGAGGAGCGCGGTCCCTCCGCCCTTGCCCGCGCCGTTTGCGGCCCCGCGCACCATTTTCAGGCGCGCGCGCACCTGCCGCCTGCGCCCTCGTGCGCTTCGCGATCCTGGGCGCCGCGCTCAATTGCGACTTCGTGCCCCCTCCGCCGCCACCTCCGGGCAGGCTGATGAGGGCTGTCGAGGACCGGTGGAGCGCTGGTGTACGCGAACTGCAGAGCGAGAATCAGCACGATAGTTCAGAGCCAACATTGTTTTCATAGATGTTCTGTTCCTAAGCCATAACGGTACAGTGCAGCCCGGAAACTGCCAGGGGTGAATCTGTACGACTACGAGTGCATACTGTGAGTGAGCGGCGAGGAGATAGAACATACGACGAGTATTATATGAGTGAATGAAGTGCGAATGGTAAGCAAGGTAGAATAGAGCGAAGACCATGCGGAAAAGGCAGGGAGGACTCAGGCGCCGCTACGATCGTAAAGCAGGCCCGAGTTGCCTCCACCTGCGAACTGAATGAGAACATCAAAGGATACCACCGTGGGGACTGGCGATCGCAGAAAGCAATTCCTCAAGAAGCCAGCTATCGATTGCATTGAGGAGGGATGTCGGCTTGTCCACCGAATTCGGATCGTATACCTCGTGGACGAGCTGTGCGAGGTAGGCAGTCGGAACGACACCTTCCTTGAAGCATGTCTGCCAGCTGACGATGCCTTCCTTTTCGCAGAATGCGCAGCTCGCGACAGGGCAGGCATACGCCTCGTCACTATTGCCGACGAAAGTGATCTGGAAAACCGACTCAGGATCCATATGCATACTAACGATGCAGACCTGCTGTGAGTACGAACCTTGATTTTCTCGCTACCCACAATCGAGTCGGAGCCAGTGGCAGCGATAGCGAGCATGCGAGGGCGGAAGCTCGGAGAGTCAATCTCTTCAAGTGAAACGAGGTCAGAGGTGAACGTGCCGGCAGCTCGCTTCCTCTCGAACGACGCAGCGCAGGGAATGCCTGTGCGCTGGAGGAAGCCCCTGACCACATCCCCTAGACTGGCACGCCCATCGTCGAAGGCTATCGTCTTCAGGGGAAGAGGGACTGTGTGCTTGACGATAATATCGAGGTAAGGCTTGAGGCTTTCGTAGCTGCCAATTCGCGTCGAACAGGCTGCCATCACGAGTGCAGCTGGTCCACCGGCGAATGCTTGAGCAGCCTGAAGAAGACTGTAAGAAAGGTAGTCCCTCGGCTGATAGTGCTGCATTAACGAACCTTCGACAATGTGAACCCGTTGTGACACGGCAACTCGAAGCCTGCGCGGAAAGCACGAGTATCGGTATGCTCTGCAACAGTGTCGTCGCCTAGCAGAGCCTTGTACAGGAGCATTGGGGCAAAAGCAGCATGGGTTTCTTCGTCACGAATCGCATCAGGAAAAAAGGGGATCCCTAGGTCAGCCAATATAGGGCACATAGCCGACATAGGCTCATCGGAAACCCCTGTGTGTATAGCCGAGTATAGTAGCCTTGCAGAATCTATAGTGTGTCATAGTGCCACCATGATCAACATAGACTAGTATAGTACCTGATAGAATGGTAGTAGTATAGATCCATAAGCCGACATACAGTAACATATGCCATCATAGTAGACATTGCAAAGCATAGCACTGATCGTACTGGTCACTCACAGTTATCGTCACTCACAGTTGTCGGCAACTCATATAATGAAGAGAACATAAAGTTGAATGTATTAGATTATGAGATGACACAGTACTACAACTATAAAAACAAGTGTCGTATGGCCCGAAGACTCCGAGGGCCAAGGCCCAGGCTATAGCAAAACTAGAATCTACCTGTGGGTGTCCCTGGTTCGACCCATACCCATACCTGCTCGAAGTATCAACCCACCATAGTAGCTACGGGTTTCGCGCGGGTCTGCTCAGGCTGTATGTGTTATGCAGGTCATGGTCAGTCACGCACAGGGTTTGTGATTGGGTAGGCGAGATCTGGCAGGCAGGCGAGAGAGGACAGGTGGGCGAGAGAGGATAGGCGAGTGAGAGAGGACAGGTGGGCGAGAGAGGGCAGGTGGGCGAGAAGGTGCATGCGAGCAGGCGAACGGGTGGCCGGGCAAGAGTGGCAGGTGCGTGGTCAAACAGGTGAGTAGGTGAGCGGGCGAGGAGGGTGAGGTGCTAAACAGCCTTCCACCTCGCTGCGATGGCGGACATCCTGCGTAAGCCCTAGAAGTGCGCATGCGTGAGAGGAGACGTTGCAGCAATGTCGCACGCATGCACGAAGTGAAGAGAGATGGGGAGGTTACATCTCGCCTGATGACCTGCTTTTGGGCCAGGCCGGCAAGACCTTGCGAATCCAAATAGCCATGTCGGCTTCGTGCTGCATGACGTTCTTGATCCATGGGTGCTCCGAGTCGAGGAGAGTCGCGGGCGTCGGGCGGAGCGCAGTGTTTCACGTCAGCCTGCAATCAGGGAGGGGACGTGAGACAGGATGGGGATGACGACGGGAGACGTACGCTAGCTTGATGAACTCGTTCATCTCAGCGCTGTAGGTGAACGGGCCCTCGTCCTCTAGCTCTGGCGGCTGCGGCGTGGGAAGGGAACAGCGTTAGAACATCGGGAGGTAAGAGACGGGAGAATGAGGGGTGGGGAGGAGCAGCATACCTCGTACTGGGTGATGTACATTGTGAGCTCAATCACAGCAAGATCGCTAGGGAAGGGGAAGCGGTTCTGGACCAGCTCAAGGAGGGAGATGCCCATCGTCCAGACGTCCGATCGGATGGTGTATTCGTGCCCGGACAGTTGATCCGGCTGGACCGCAGATCAGCACAGGGCATGCCAGCGGGCAATCAGCCTAGGAAGGGGACGTACCGCCATGTAGGGACTGGTGCTGGTGAAGGTGCCTGCCATGGAGTTGATGAGCTCGCCGGAGACACCAAAGTCGCAGAGCTCACGCCCTCGGCCATCCGCCCTGCGACGTTCTCGGCGACGTGTTTGTCGGTCTCCTTGAGACGCTTACCGGCGGACTCGAGGCTGCCGCCTCGCAGAACTCCATGAGGACCTTGACCTCGCTGGAGGAGGGCGAGAGGTATGCGCCGAGGGAGCGGACGATGTTGTGGTGAGATGTGCTCAACGTGATCTTGATCTCGCGCATGAGCTGCTTCATGGGGGCCTCGAGCGTGGTGATCGTCTTGCGGGCGATGATCTGGCCTGTCCGCTTCACCCTGACCTTGTAGATGGTGCCGCCGGCACCCTCGCCGAGGCGGGCGAGCTCCTCGAGGTCGTCGTCCTCGTGAGCCAGGCTTGGATGCGGCGGGCCCATCAAGCTAATATCGGGGCACTCACCTAGTTTGCGAGCTGTATCACTGAAGCTCGTTATGCGCACCTCGTCTTGAAAATAGGCCGGTCCGTGTGTCCTCAATATCTGCGGCAGGCCGACAAGGGTGAGATTAAGGTGAGATATGGAGGAGAGAACACTGGGGGCAGCAGACGAGAGGAAGGGGCCTTGTACTTAGAGCAGCGCGAAGTCGAGTGTCGGTGTGTCGTGGCAGCGGTGGCTGCAGTCGGCATTCGCCGAATCGAGCGCTTCGCACTTGCAGACGACGGCCTCTGCCAGTGCCAGTTACCTCGCCCACCCGCTCAACCGTCTCCCACCTACTCCGTCGTCTCCCAGCCTATCCGCTGAACGTTGAGACGCTCACCTTGCGGCCCTCTTGCGCTCTATAACTCGACTGTGGCAACTCCTGTCGAACACGTGGCTCTGGCGACACGCCCGCGCAACCCAAGACTCAAACATGCGCGTAGAAGTCCTGCACCGAGCGAGAAGACTGCGCAAACTGCAAGGAATGCAGAGGAAGAAGGACGAGAGGGGAGTGAGAAGAGGAAGAAAGGTTAATGGTGTAGTATGAGTAGCTAGAACGAGCACAAAGGCTCAAAGCTCGAAGGTACGCCCCTGCGGCCGACAGACTGCATTCACGGCTGCCTTGCTGGCCACGAAGACACCTCCTCCGTCACTCGGGACGACCTCTACGTCGTACCCGCTACTACATACGGCAACACGTCGGACGCGCATCACTGCACGTCTCGCGTGCTCCGTTCATTCACGACCGATGGTCGCATATTGTGTACGTTAAATGCTTCGCCCTATGTACACGCTGCCGACGAAGATAATGACCCGCGACGCGCGTACTTGCAGACGCACCCGACGGGTCAATTGATTCCATACACGGTGCGACGGACCACGGGCTATACATCCGCTATATCACATTGCACTATGGGTACGTCGTGTATACACAAGATCTGTTGCGCCGCCCATCTGACCCCGACTCTCGACAACAGATGGCCTGGCGCAGATGGCGTAGCGGAGCAGCAGCGCACTGAACAAGACAAGCAGGCTGGAGTTCGCTGAGCACAAGCCCAGGGAGCACGAGCCCGGCGAGGACAAGCGCGAAGAGCGTGTCCAGGACAAACACGAGCAGCACACTTACGACGAGGACAGGCTGCAAGGACAGGCCTGGAGTCGGCTAGTTACAAGCTCAACAGGCACGACGCAGGTGAGCCCGACGCAGGTGGGCACGCCGCATGACACAGGCGAGCGCGATGTAGGCAGGTATGCAAGCGGGACAAGCGCGACCAGGACAAGTACGACGGGAGCGAACACAAACTATGGACAACAGTCGTGTAGCGTGTACGTTGGATATTCCGCCCTACGTACACGCCACCGACGAAGATACTGATGTGTCCCGTGTACTTGCAGAAGCACCCGATGCGTAGACTACATCTATACACACACGCGTCGTGCGATGGATCACGGCCCTTTCGTAATAAAGACATGCAGTAGATTCTCGTGACATGCATGATGGATGCTCTAGCGTCAGGTGTGCTTTCTCATCATTCTATACTACTTTACATGAGCACTTGCTGTATGTAGTCGTCATTTATAAATCAATGTTTCGGTGTCGCTTTCGAACCACTACAAGCATTGGTAGTAACACACATAGCACGATCTATTGGCCATAGATGGGTGTGACATTGTATATTCCTATAGCATGTCAAGCAAAGCCATCATAGACCTACAGCCTACTATGATGGTTGGCGGCTATGCTATGTGGTACTATACTGTCTATAACGGGTATGTACTGATGGCTGGGTGCTATGGCCCCAAATGTGAGCCTAATGAGTGGGAAATCACGTTTCGAACGGTCCACCCGGAGTGCATTTGGCCCGTTTGGAACGGTGGACCCGGTGTGAGAGTTAGCGGTATCGCGCTCTCGTCGAGGGGCCGGGCTAGGCCGTGAACTCGAGGTCGTGTGTCGATGGAAGACCACGGACTTGAGGTCGTGAGGATCGTAAAGGTCGTAACGGGGCGAGGAGCCCGCTGTAGGCGTGAGCGAGGCGAGGAGCCCGCGTTGAAGTCGTCGCGCGAGGAGCGCGCTGGCAGTCGGCGAGGAGCTCGACAGCGGAGTCGACGAGGAGACGACTCGGAAGGACAGCGCAGCGGGGAGCTCGCGTCGAGGACGAAGGACGAGGAGTCCGACGTCGAAGAGACTCAATCCCAGTTCGTACGGCGCGGCGGAATCGCACTCGGACGAGGTGGTGGGATGCAAGTAAGTCTGGCGTCTATTCCGTATAGCGCGCGTCTTCAGCAGAGACGGGCGCCTAGAAGTACACGTGACGCAATATACGCTAACTATTGTACGGGACGAGGGAGGAAGAGATGAGGGTCGCGGTTATTGTAAAGAGAAGAATATATATGTAAGTAAGCGGACTTGATCCTGTCCGCCGCATCCGTAACAGGGCCCCCCACCGCGAGTCTCAGATCCTTTGCAATGTCGTCCCTAACGTCCAATTCCAAGAGAATCCGTCCCAGAGCGCACCAGTGCGCGAGCCGCACCACGTCGTCTTCACTGTCGAGGTAGCGAGGTTCGTAGTAGGAAGGATAGACGGACAGTCCTGCCCCCCAGACTCGTCGCACTCGGTCGCGGATCCCGGCCCATAGCGCGCCGCGAGCAGTTGACGACATAGTCGCTCTCATGGCCGGATGTTTGGCCGCCACTATACGCTCGACGTTCGACCGGAAGTGGAAGGTGCGGAGCTCCCATACTTCCTTGTCCTCTTCATCCGGACCGGGGTTTCGGAGGTACGGTATCATGGCGTCGGGGAGCGGACGGACGTTGCAAGTCTTGAGCGTACGGCTCAGAGCAGCATCCGGACGCAGGCGACCCTTCCAGACCTTGAACTTGAGGGGGTCCCACTCTCCGGGCGGTAGGTTCAATGCCTCCACTTGTTTATCCCTTGATTTGAGCCACATCAAGAGAGCTCCGTACCGATCGTCGGGTCGGCCGAGCAGCAGCTGAGGCGAGGGCAGAAGAAGCAACCCATCCTCCGGGAATTGAGGCTCCGGACCGAGCTCGCTCTCCCAGGGACGTCGAGGGGCCGGCGTGAACTCGTCACGTTCAAAGGGTCGGCGAATGTATTCGACCACTTCGGACGGAGAGTGAAGGTTCAGCCTCGTCCTGAGGGGAGCTCCGGACGGGAGGGTGACGATCCGACTAGGGTTCGCGGGTTGGTTCGCCGTCTCTTGGTCCTGGGCACTCTCGTCCTCGTCCTCGACGACGGGTTCGTCGTCCTTGGGCTCGCGAGTGCTGACGTCAGAGAGCCGTTCCTCAAGCGTTGTCCCTACCCGAGCGAGCAGGGAGCGCGAGTCACTCAATCGCGAGAGGAGAGAGGGGCCGGGCTCGTTCACGTCCTCGACGGGGGCAGGGTTGGCAGTGTTCAACGCTCCGCTCCTCAATCGTTCCTCGAGCGATCGGGTCGGGGCAGGCGCGGATAGTGGGTGAATCCGTTCAGCTAGGGACCGACTGGACGTGGTCGGGCTGTCCCGAGAGACGCGTTCGCGAGGAGGGGAACGAGGTCGACTAGGGGGATCGGATCGTCTCACCGGGCTGCGTCCCCTGGAGGTCCTGGGAGCTCTTTCCGGAGGCTCCGCTCGATGCATCTTGTCTCGACTGGATCGCCTCGTATACCCAGACGAAGGAGGGGGTCGGTAAAAGTCGCCACCTCTCCTGAGCGGAGGACGCGGCGGAGATCGAGCGCGGTAGGGCGATCGCGGGCGAGGGCGATAGGGCCGAGGAGATCTCGACCGAGATAAGGCACGACGGAGGGGTCGTGAGTCCGGGGAAGGGGAACGACGGAGGGACGGGCCGTATCTCCCGTATGGGCTAGGCGACGGAGACTTCGCTCTTCGTTTTCCTTTGTCGACGGCGGGGCGCGGGGGCGGCGACTGAGGAGAGGGAGCCGTAGGGAGCGGCGCATACGACTCGACCGGGCTGGCTGGTAGCGACACGGCCATAGGCGAGTCCGCACGCGGGAGCGGCGCTACCGTTTCTCCGCGAAGGCTTAGGGGTGGCGGGATCGCGAGCGAATCCTCGCGCAGGAGCGGCAGTTCCGACACTCTGCGCGGGGTTCGAGCTTGAGGAAGTGGTTCGGCAAGAGACTCAGGGGCTGGATGGTTCACCCATCCCTCCTCCAGGTTCTCGAGCGAGGCCGCGGTAGTCGCCCCATCCGTTCGATCCGGCAGAGAAGGGACAGTCGGCGCCGGTGAAGCTCGGCGAGGAGGGCCTCGGTCCCGCCGCCTTGAGTCGCCCATATCTAGATCGGAGTCCTCCTCGGCGCTGTCCAGGTCGGCTTGGAGTTGGCGCATCCTTTGTCGGGTCCGTCTTCCGAGTGGTTGAGGCGGCGCGTGTTCCGCGACGTCCCACTCTTCCCACGAGAGTCGGTCGTCCAAGGGAGCGATGGACGAGACAAGCTTGCTCTCGGGAGGAGGGGAACGAGAGACGTACCAGACGGGGACGCCACACCAGGCGAGACGCTTCCTAACCTCATCGTTCCCCTCATCCACCCAACATCCTCTGCCCACCAGGTCCGGGCAGGGAATCGAAAAGCGCCCTTCCGCAAAGGCGCGCCGTAAGTAGGCGTGAAGCGCGTAGGCTCGCAGCTCCAGGAGGTGTCGTTGGATGAGGGCGACGATCTTGCGCATGGAGTGAAGGTCGACGGTGAGGCTGCTGAAGTCGTAGAGAGCGTCCTGCACACAGGTGGGTCGGAGGACGAAGCCAGAGGGGGGAGAACGGTCGAGGTTATAGAACTCCTCGGCGCGACGAAGCTCGGCGTCGTAAAGAGTTCTCAGGGCGAGCGAGAAGTTGCGAGTAGGGGTGCCGGTCCCATTTTGAATGCACGAGACGTAGAAGGACGCCGGAATTCGCCCTTTCTTGAAGTCGAGTTTAACGAAAGCAGCGTCGACTCCTTCGTCATTGTCCGGGGCTTCGTAGATGAACGCGCGGTGTTCAAACGCGCTGCTCCACCACTGAGCATGATACCCGGGCTCGAACCAGCCCGTACGGCCATCCGCGTAGACTTCCTCGCGGTCGTTTGCACCAGGAGGAGGCGAGGGAATGTACGGGGCGTTGGACGAGATGGCGAAGGATCCGTCGCCCATAGAAAGAGCTGAGCGCACGTTTCGGTGCGCTCGGTAGAGCTCCCATGCGGTGTGGCCAGCTTGAAGACGGACTGGGAGATGTCCGAAGTCCCGTGGGTAGTGCAACGACGTGCGAAAGCCTAGCGAGGCCGGGGCGAGAGTGGGAGACGACATCCGGCGGAGGAGCGAGGGCGAAACGAAATGGGAGCGTAGCTGAGCAAAGTTCGGCAGTTCCAAACGTTTGCTTAGACTACAGGGGGAGAGTGAGAAGCGGCGGAATCGCTAGCTCACTAGTGAGAGGGAAGAGGAAGGAATAAGCGCGCTAGACGCTCCGTGGCTCATGAACTTCCGTGACGCGCTCACGTGACGAGTCGACGGCGCGTCTGAGCGTCTTCTGGGAAATTCTACGGGCAGAAATAGTACAGTATGGTAGAGTAATTTTTAAGGAGAAAAATGATATATACTCTAGCTACAATAAAACGAAGACGAGAGGGAAGAAGAAGAAGAGGGAAATCTAACGAGTCAGTCCTTCGGCGGTCTTGTATTCTCTGAGTATTTCGAACGCGTTCTGTAGGTGCGAAGCGGGTTCCCAGGTGTCGTGGATGGGGCTAAATCCTTTCCAACGGATCAGGAATTCGAGACGGTTGCTCCTGGATTTATTTCTTCTCCACGCGACAATCTTGTCCACTTCGAATTCTTCCGTTGCGAGGAGTTCTGAGTTGCGCGGATCGGGGAGAACAGGGCGGTTAACGTCGCCGGGGATGGAGGGCGACCCTCGGTAGCGCCGCAGGTGTTCCAAGTTGATGACAGGGTTCATGGGGTACGTGTCGGGAATGGCGAGGCGGTACACCAGAGGATTGACCTGTTCTTGTACGATGAAGGGACCGAGCATCCTCTGGACTAACTTCTTTCCAGTACCCTTGACGTCGACGAGTTCCAGTGAGTGTGGATTGACGAGGACTTTGGAACCCGCGGGGAAGGTTTCCACCCGTCGGCCTTTATTGAATTGGCGAGCCGCTTGTTCTTGGGCCAAGGCGAGAGCATCTCGAGCTTTCTGGCGATGGAGTTCCATTTCGATAACGAAGTCGGTCGCGCGCTCGCTAGCGAGTAGCGGACGTTCCACGTATCGGCTGTTCTGGCTCAGGAAATCGAGGGTGCCCTTGGGATCGAAACCGTAGAGTAGGAAGTACGGAGACTGACCCGTTGCTGAATGGATCGAAGAGTTGTATGCGTGGGATAAGGCAGGAAGCCATTTGGCCCATCCGGCTCGGTCGCCCTGCACGTAAGCTCTGAGCATGGTTTCGAGTCGCTGATTGACTATTTCCGTCTGTCCGTCGTGTTGAGGATGATGCGATGATGATAAGCAGAGATGGATATTTAGTTCAGCGGCTACTGCTCTCCAGAACTCAGATATCCACCGTCCATCGCGGTCGCAGATGATATGTTCGGGGATACCGAAGCGAAAGACGACGTGTTGTACAAAGAGGTGCGCGAATTCGACAGTGTTGAGGGTACCCTTGCAGTGGATGAATTGTCCATGCTTCGTGCATCTGTCGACTACTACCAGTACTGCGTCGTATCCGTCCGAGAGAGGTAGGCCGGTGATGAGGTCGAAGAGATCCATTCAAACGGGCGATTGGGGACTGGGTTCGGACGTAGAAAGCCGGCTTTAGCTCGATGGTCGGATTTCGTCTTTTGGCAGACGTCGCACGAAGCTGCGTATTCCAGAACGTCCTTACGCAAGGTGGGCCAGAAGAACCGAGTGTTGATTCGTAGGGCTAGCTTCGTTGGGCCTTCATGCGCTGCTTCGTGGGGCGAGTCGTGAAGTCGCGCAATGAGGGGAAATACTTGCGATCGAGGCACGCATAGCCTTGCGGGGTCCGAGCCCGTGCGCATGTAGAGAAGGCCGTGATCGTCCATGAAATGCATTGACCAGCGAAGCGCTGCAGGTCTGGCACACTGGCTTTCTTCCACTTGTCTCGGAAGAAAGGATCTTTCGCGTATCCTTGGACGAACTTGTCCCGAAATTCCTTACTCATCTCGATGAGCATGGTCGGGGGCGACACGTCTTCGTCCGGATAGTACAATGAGCTTGGGTCTTGAGGAACGTCTTGAGCTCTCGAATCCCTACGCGGCTCCGTAGTAGAGTTCTCTACGGCTTTCTCGGCGGAACGTGATCGAGTTAGGACAGTTTCGACGGTCTTGAGTGGTTCGAGATGGGGAGGCATTGTCTCTCCTTCTCTCGCCCCGCTCTGCTCCTCAGTTGCGGACTGGGGAGGCGCGATATCTCCCTCAGCTCGTAGACTGAGATCCTCTGCGGTGTTGAGCGGTTCGAAATGGGGAGGCGTTATCTCTCCCTCATCCGTTCCGCGTAATCCCTTGGTTACTTGCTGTGGAGGCGTGAGATCTCCCTCAGCTCGTAGACTCAGGTTGCTTGCGTAAGGAGAGCTGCTCGTGCTTGCAGTGCCTTGTCGCTGTTTCGGTAGCTCTTCCCGTTCGCCCCCCACGCTAAGACCTGAGTCGTTCGCGTTTGTGTTGGCATGCCATCTTGTCGGTGGTGTCTCTTCGAGGACGTCTTCCCACGAGGTCACTATCGACGCTCCGGCCGCCATACGGGAGGCTGGAGCTCGCTCCGCTGCGGATTCGGTGGCTGCAGCCGTAGTTTGGTCGGTGACGATGGGGATGGACGAGTCGAAGCAGGGTGACTGATGCTCCGGTGGGTCGCGGGGCAGTCGAGACAACGGGTCGACGTTGGAATGCACGCGTCCTGCTCGGTGCACGATGTCGAGGTTTGGCGCGAAGGCCGCGAACACTGCTCCCCAGGCGGCTAGGCGGCGGTTAGTGTTCTCGTACGTGCGTGCCCATTGCAAGGCCGCGTGATCCGTGACGAGGGTGACAGGTTCGCCTTCAATGAACGGTTGGAAGCGAACCAATCCTTCCTTGGCCGCTAGGGCTTCGCGTTCGGTCGCGGAATAGTTCCGTTCCGCTGGCTTGCAAGTCCTGCTCCAGTAGGCGATGACTCGCTCTACATGGACGGCGGTATCGTCCAATGTGGAGGCCCACTTCGTTGGAGGAGGACAGTCGTCGAATTTGCGAGCAGTTCGGGCGACCAGTACGGGCACCGGAGCTTGTTCCGCGAAAGCTTTGGCGAGACGGTCGTAAGTACGAGTACCGCGTAGATCTCCGACCTTGATGGACTGGACTTGCTGGAGGCATGCTCCGAGGGCTATGTCAGAGGCATCAGTATAGAGTCGGTACGGTAGTCCTGGTATCGCGTGCGCGAGTATCGGTGCTGATTGAAGAGCGTCCTTCGCCTTTTGCCAAGCCACTTCACAGTCGGCTGTCCAATCCCATTTGTGGTCCTTCTTTAGCAACTCAAACAACGGAGAAACCAGGAACGAGAAATAAGGGATGTAAGCCGCGAAGTATACCGTCATTCCGAGAAAGGTTTGAAGCTCCAGTACGCGCTTTGGACGGGCGAGTTCCATCACGGCGCGTACTTTTTCCTGGTGAGTAGAGAATCCGAGCCGGGAGACCTTCTGTCCGAGTAGTAGAATCGAGGTGTACCCAAAGTGACATTTAGGAGGCGACAGCGTGATACCCGCGGAGATAATGGCCTTGAGTACCTTGTCGAGGTGCGAAATGTGTTCGTTCCAGGACCGCGAGTAAACTACGATGTCGTCGATATAGACCAAGGCGAACAACCACAGGTACGGGGCTAAGACTCCTTGCATAACTCGTTGGAAAGCTGAGGGGCCATTCCTAAGTCCGAAGGGGAGACGCTTGAACTGAAACAGGCCGCGATGCGTTCGGAAAGCGGTCTTCTCTCGGTCGTTGTCCGCAATCGTCAATTGCGTGAAACCCGCCAACGCGTCCAGGGATGTGAGGACTTGAGCTCCGGTGAGTGCTTGCAGAATTTCGTTCTGTCTGGGGATCGGGAATTCGTCTGGAATGGTAACGGTGTTCAAGCGGCGGTAATCGACGCAGAGACGAGGTTTCCCGTTACGGTACGCTATCAGCACCGGGGCCCCCCAGGGACTATTAGACGGTTCAATGACGTCCAGAGACATCCAGGAATCGTGTTGCTTGTCGATCACCAGTCGTTTAGCAGGAGAGGCTCCGTACATGGGTAACGACACTGGCTTCGCATCCGGTTGAAGCTTGATCTCGACTTCGGAAGGATTATGGCCTAGACGTCCATCGAACGCGAATGCAGCTTGATTGGCTTTCAGCATACGGAGGAGCCGTTCCTTTTCTTCTGCTGGCCATTCTGGACCGATGTCCAAGATTTCGGCAAGCTTGGCCGAAGGGTAGGTTTCTGGGTCCGGCAGTTCAGCTGTCTTAGGGCCCCATTCATCGTCTCGAGTTTCGACATTAGGAGTGTCAACTACATCCGCGCGCGGCTCTTCTATCGCGCTACGGATGAGTGTCTGGACGGCGAGTGCGTGGGCTTCCAAATCCGAGGAGTGGTCCATAAAATGCGAAGCGGGGTCGTGAAGGAGACCGAGGGATTCGCCTTTGCGTACCATAACGGGACGTTCAGTCGGGTTGGTGATGGATACATAGGCATGCTCGGCGTCGATAATGGATGGGGTGGTTAGCAGGAAGGAACCGTCTGCTTGACCTAGAACCGTTTTTTCGACGAACCAGGAGTCGTGTTCAAGGAAAGAAGCTTGGACCGGCACCGGACGACAAGAGTGCGGCGAAATTCGCACGTCTTGAGTCGCGATAGCCGTAGGACGTTGCTGCTTGATCTGTTCGCGATGGCGGTCCGCTCGACGTCTGCGATGGGACTTCGCTCTGACGAAACTGGAGTCAGCTCCTCTGGTTATGATCTTGATAGGTGGTCGATCCTTGCGGGCTGCTGAGGAAGCGGGAATGGAGTAACCGGAGTCGCCCACTTGGATGGCCGATCCTTCCGTCAAGCTTCGCGTGACACCTAGCTCGTAGTTGACATGGAAATCTTCTCCAAGTAGCAAGGAAGAGGACATCCCGGGAACTACGTAGCATTCTGCTAGCATTTTGAGCGTATGACCTTGTTCCGACTCAATATAGACCTGAGTTTGCACGTAGCCGGTAATACGGAAACCTCCCGTCAATTGATATAGGTTCATGCGAAGTCCTTGTTTGATCTTAGGGCGTTGTGGTGTTTGCGAGTCCCCGATGCGTAGACGACGCGGAAGGGAATTCTAGGTATCGGTGAAAACGATGGGCGGGGGTCGTTGGTGCGGGTTGACGGCTGCGGAAGGAGGGAGCGAGGTCTCTGGTACCTCGCGGAGGAGTGGGAGGTCGAGATGATACGATAAACACCTCCCTGCCCTGTCCGTGGGCGTATATCGGCCTTCCTAAGCCTGCTGCGCTCGACGATTTTCCTTCCGACGATCCTAAACCTGTCGCGTCCTTCTTCCTAAGCCTGAGCCTAACCTTGACGAGCTTCCTTAGCCTGAAGTTCCTCCTAATACGACACCTGAAGCCTGAGATTGCCCGTCGCAACCTAGATACGGAGTCCTGAGAGGTAGTGGTAGGTAACTAACTCCTCCCTCCCTCTCCCCTCCTAAGTCTCCTCCCGCCGCCGTTTTCCCACGTCCTACCCTCGCTGGCACCCGTTCCTCTCCTCTCCCGTTCCTTCCGCACCCGCCGCGTCTCCTTCCGACCCCTCGCCGTGCCCTTCTCCAGCTCCTTCCGGTCCCTCCGCCTCCTTCCGACGCCTCGCCATACCCTTCTCCAGCTCCTTCCGCTCCCTCCCCCTGGCTCTCAGTGTTTCCCCACCGTCTGCAATGCCCGCCGATGCTCCCCCGAACCCGTCCACCATCGTCTTCACCACCCGGTTCTACCGCCTCATCGATCTTCTCCGTGACGAACGTGTAGTCGAGCCTCGTCTGAACCCCGATAGCGACCACGAGTGGCTTGCCTGGGCCCACGGAGCTCGGTGGTTAATCGTGCGTCTTCCCCTTCATCCTGATTCCTGATCCCCCTCTAAGCCGTCCTCCCCGCAGCGAATGCTCTTCGACTCTCGTTCCCGTGCAGTGGCCCACGGCGATGCTTCCCTTCCGCTCGTCCGCCGCTATCCCGACGTGCAGGAGCTGATCGAGTACCTCGACCAAGTCTTCCTCACTCTTCCGTCGCAGCATAGCTACGTGGGCGAACCCTTCCCTTTGATTGCCTGGGCCCCGAATCGGGTCACCGCCGAGCAGGCCGACGCAGAGATTGGTCGT